AATTGTCATATACATGTATGTGGAAAGTAAAAAGATGAAGAACTAATAATAAGTTCAGTTTAATTGTTATTTACATGTAGTAAATCAATACCATATTATAAGTTGTATAGATAGAACTAATTATAGATTGCTAATTTATGGTATTATAATACTACAAATCAATATCTCTTGTGTGCAATTCTCACCAATCACAGAGAAAAAATTATTTCACCATGTTTTACTGTTAATACAAACACAGTAAACAAAGAAAGTTGTTAAAGAGGCATTATTATTCTCACCATGAAATACATAGATTTTTGAATATGATATTCAGAGAAAACTTGGACTTAACTAATTATCCAAACTAAGATCTGCTTAAATTTCATGAATACACTAAAAATTACAAAGTTAAAACGTATATCTTAGCGGAAATGATGCATTTGTCTTATAATTCTAATTCGAATATGTTCAGTATAACTTACTTTTAAGTTAAATCACATAAAATCTAAAATTATTTTCTAACAAACAGGTGAAGATCTCTGAAGTGCTAACGCCTCTTATACAGCCACAACCAGTTAGGTCGCAAAACTGTAGCGCAGAAATAAAATTTCCTGATATTTAATTGGCCAGTCAGAGGAAGTTCAGTGACAATGAAACCTCTTGCAATTTTTTGACCACATACAATGCTTCTTGGATCCTAATAATGAATGAATGTCAATAATCTCCCTGTGATTTGAAAACATAGATTTTTTTATCTCTTAATTGTATTAACGGTATGTCTGTCTTTTTATCTGTTTTAACTCTTTAAATTCCTTTGTGGTCCAGATGTCATTATTTTTTCATAGCTTAAAATTTTTCTTGTTAACCTAGAATTTAATGTAATCTATCTACTCCATGTATGTTTAGAGTATTTTTGCGACATAATTGGTTGGCCACATGCCACAGTTAGAAAGAGAGGTGGTCTGTCAATATTCAACTGACAGATAGTGAGCACATTTTTTCATGGCAGTGGGAATTAAAAAAAGTGTTTGGAAATGTTGCATAAGTCATTATCGTGATGGCTAGTAATGGATGTACTTTTCAGAGTCTCTATTGTACAGTGGTGGAATCAGGTCTATTAGAACCAACTGTTGGGCAATAAAATCCCATGATAATTGGACAAATTAACTTGGATACTTAGGGCATGTGTTAAAAGGTGTCAAAGAATGAATTTGTGTAATTTATGTTATTTATATCGTGTTTCAATGTTACGAAGTCTTCATCTCTAGGTAATTGGAGTAAATTAGCTTGGTGTAAAGAACGTGAGTTGGCATTAAGATGGCATCACTAAACCCTGGAACTAGCTTCTATTCATATTTTGGTATTCTTACGTATGTTGGAGATTTTGGGTCTGTAAGCCTTGGCAGATGTTCATCAGCATTGAACGTATAACTAATAAATAGCTATCAGTATTGATTATATAGTTCATCGTGTTCCTAATTTATATTGGGGTAAATGAAAGATAATAGTTCCATTTAAAGTTCCGCAAAAACAACTTGTACATTCTATATAATTGTCTATAATTTTAATGACCGTTTTTGAGTTATAAAAGGGTTAGGGTATTTTTGAAAGGCCAAAAACCAAACAATATGATGATTCTTAAAACCCACATTTAATTAGAATATTTGCATTCAACTAGTTTTTCAAGGCTATTTTATTGGAAATGAAATGAAATGGGGTTTAACGTTCTACTGTTCTGCTTCGAACTGGGATAATGACGACGGGCATACGCCATACAGTGTGCTATGAGGGAAATTTTGCCTGGACAGCGGCACTACGGCCTATTCTTATATCGAATTCCAACTGTCAAGGGATCGTTTACGTGCACGCCAATGTGTATATGGGACCTCGGTTTTTCGTACCATCCAAACAACTAGACAGCTGTTCTTGTAAGTCCCTCCATCCTGCATCACTTACAAGGGGGAAGCACGCCGGAAAATCTGTATGAACTTTCTTGGCCAATGCATGGATGTAACACTCGACCTCCAAGCTAGCGAGCCAGTGTCTTACCCACTTAGCCACCGTGATCCCCCTATTTTATTGGTATTTGTTATTCAATGACAATTAAAAGTCTTTATGTAGTAAATATTTAATAATATTAATTCAGTGTAATCAACTAACATTCAAAAATAAATAAAAAGGCATAAAAAATATATCGATTTTAATAATTTACAATCTCTAGAGATCTGAAAAAAAGCACCCAAAACAATGGAAATGGTTTAACGAATGCTCTTTAGATCATAATGTCTGTCATTGAGTCAAGAAAATATGGTACACCTCTTGTCCACACAACACTTTGTTCATTTTGAAAAAGGTAACAAAATTATAAAGAAAAGATGCTTTATTGACAGTTGATTAATAATGAATTCATCCTCAGTCAATGTAGTTTATGAATTGTGTCCATTGACATTGTCACCTATGATACCCAAGAGGTTGCAAACAATCTTTGATCTTCGTAGTACATGAATGAATCAACTGTAGAAATGTCTTTATAATAATCTCAAGTAAGAATTCTGCAGGTATAAACTAACATTATTCACATGCTATTAGAAGATTAGGTTTTGTTAAAGTGCCAGAAGATAAATATTTTGTTTTATTTAGGAATGTTTTCTCATGATATTTAAGCACAATTTTTTTGTATGTATTATATGGAAGGTGCTGTGAGTATAAACCTTATAAAAGCTAGATTGGTGTCATATTTGTTTAACAGCTTATTTTGGCAATTGGGTGTTGTATTCGGCACCAAATGTTTACACTGCAATATGGATCTAAATGAACAAGTGGTGCGTCATCTTCTAAATTAACTGCAAAATTATTAACAAATGCAATGACACAGTGGAAATTTTTGCTGTGTAACTGAACTACTTGATGCCAGTTTGGTGCTTATTGTGTTAACACTACATACAATACGAGACTTTAAAGTCTAGAATATACCAGGGTGGTTTAAATGCACAGAAACATTTGGAGCACTAAACTGGCCATGCTTGTTTGGTCCAGACTTATGTAGTGCTGTATATCTTTGTTTGGAGGTGTATTTTATTGTAGTGTAAATGCTTAGTGATGCATTATTTCTTGGTGTAAACACGGCTTTAATGTTCTAAAGAAGGTGTATATAGTGTGTCAAATTATAAGTAGAACCTTGCAGAATTTACACATTTCGCAGGCAAAAATGGGGAATCGTGGAAGCCAGTCTGCTTTGTTGTGAGCAAAAGGTTAGAAGTTATTTTTGTTCTTCTTGGAAGCAATGCTCTTTGACCCCCCCCCCCCCTCCTGACCCAAAGTAATTAAAGTATAATCGACATGAAACTTGGCATGCACGTTCCTTGGATAATTGCACATCAATTGACAGACTTTGATTTTTGATACAAAGTCACAGTTACAAGATGGCTGCGATAATGCCATGCTAGGTTTCTGTTCCATAGTACGCTCTTGCTTATTTTATAAAAAATGTCAGATTTCGTTGTTAAAAACACAAACCATGTTAAATATTAATGCATGTGCTATATTTATCATACCTGTTATCAATGACATGAAAACTTCATTTATATATTATGATGGAATTAAGCCAAAGTCAGAATGACCGGTGTCGTGACTCTTGCTTCAGGTTAAACCAAACTGACCCAAGTCTATTAATTTCTAGACCTTTGGTAGAAATACTTGACAGAATAGACAGCTTTACATTGTAGACAGTTAATTCTAGAACTCAAGACGAATACTTAATCGATTTTGATGGTTGAATTTGACTCAAACACACTGGTAGAAGATGTAAATAAATGTTTCTTTTATTCACATGGTCCCAGACTGGCTTATTAAAACAGATTCAAAATAGGTTTTACAGATAATTATAAACATGGGCTATTTGGACACCAGATTAAATAATATATGAGGATGGGTTACAGGCAACAAAATGTACACCCACAGAAGCTAAGTTGTTTCAGCCGTTCACGAAGGTTGTTGTTGTTTGTTAGGTTTTACTTCCACTTCCACCGAAGGTGATGTCACAAACAGATTGTCTTGTTTTAGTATGTTTAGTGTATGTGCAGGGATCTTTCCTGTGGGAGGAAACCAGAGTAAATCTACAAGGTTGAGAAGTAACACCCCCCCCCACTCACACACCCCAACCCCCATGCCTACTAAGCCATGTATGTTCACACCAGGTATCGAAACCACAACTGGAAAAACAGAGGATCACCGGCTATCTAGATTTAGGGGCATTACAATTAGGTCATTCCAAAACCACCTCCCCTGCTCCCCCTTCTCTCCTGCAAATGTTGTCACATTATCCTTATGTAGGTAAAAGACCCTGAAATATGATCAAGAATAACAAAACATGAACTAATTAATATTTGGTATAGAAAACATGTACCAGTAATCAGATCATAACAATAACTATTCTAGTTAAATCAGAAATTGTAAAAGTCAATAGGCTTTAAACACCACGTGTAAACTTTAGTCTTTAAATAAGTATTTTTGAATCTTAAATTTTTGGATTTCTTAAAAAAGACTACCATCTTAATTACACTCATGCACTGATCATGGCTGCTATGACAAGATTTCCATTGGTTTGATGAATTGAAACAGGCTTCTATTGGATCGGTTTCTCTGGGATTATTTTCTTGTTGGTTAGAACTTATTCTCAGATTTATTGCTATATCCATACATTAATCATGAGTGTTTTATAGTGGTCAGATAAATTGTTGCCGGTCCCTATTAGATTGGTTTCATGATAGCAAGTTGTTGGAATCACTCCAGTTGATTAGAAATTGTCCTTTTAGTTCAGAAACTATGAACTGACCAATGAGGATTTGCGAACCCTTCCACAATTTTAAGTAAAATGTTCATGAAGGGGTGGGTGTATTTGACCCAGATTTGCATGCTAGTTGTATTTTATGAATTTTAATTTATGTGTCAATGCTTTATTATTTCTTCATTGTTATGATTAAGAAATGATTTTAAATGTTTTCATATTTGATGTTCTTCAGGAACAAGAGTGTCAAGACTTAGATCTATCTGATGATGAAGAACTAGCCCAAGCATTTGATATGCATTCTCTAATTATCAACAGACTGTCGGATGATGACACCATTATATCCGCTGACCAGGTCATCAGTGAGATTGAAACAATGATGCAGGTAAATTCAGAATTTATTTCCAGAATATGGAGCAAAATTCTATAACACTTTCAAACTTTCAAAATGTATTTAGTAGAATGAGGCCTAATAAAAACGAAGATCCGCCAAGATGAATCAATTTGTCAGCTTCCTTTGTCAGGTTTCAGAAAATCAAATAACTCTGTGTGCATGACAAAACATGTAAAAGTATAGAATTGTGATTCATTTGAATTAATGACTCGTGCATTTGTCAGCTTTCAGATGAAAAAGAAAACTGTCTTTTGACAAATCATATAAATTTCATATTAAATTATGAAATCACTATACAGTTACAGTAATACTATGGATGATAAATATTCCATATATAGGAGAGATATTAGCCATTAAAATCCTGCTCTCCAATCATTCCCAATTGATTATTGATTGGATGACCGGCTTCCTATAAAGGTTGTAACTATTGGCGATGAGGTCATCGTTCTACTCTTTATGATTTGTTTGCAGGAATATTGTGTACTGAACATGTTCTTGTGTTCTAAGGTTGTAAGTTGTGATAAATTAGTCTGAGATTTGCTGCAAGGCTGATAATAACAATAAATAAATTATATTGTCAGTCATGTTCGTCCAAACATTGAAATGAGATTCATGTAGGAGAATATAAGGTCTTATTTATCTTCTATCTGTAATACATTAATGTCTGCCTAACAAAAATAAGTGAAGAGATCTCGGTTAATTTTCATAACATGCATATATGGCTGTATTATTATTATCACTGTCGGTTCGTTGTCCACAATTGCTTGTTAATTCATACACAGTGTTTATGTTCATCAGATGAAGGATTTTCAATGATTTCAGATAATAACTGATTCAGATAGTTATTGGTCTAGATATCATTTCATTGTATTGAAAACTTTACACACACAGGTAATAAAAGTTGCCCCTACCACAACAGATGTTCAAAGTCAAATTAAAAAAAAAAGATTTTGGTGCCATGTTTGTACATGTATGTATGTTTTGGTAATGTAATAATTATCATAATTTACGTACATTTCTATTTTATAGGAAACTAATATTGAAGATGGACCTGTTGAATTAGAAGAGACACCAGAAGATTTACATTATGCTGAATTCAAAGAAAATCTTGCAAAACTTCCACAGTATTCTGAAGCAGGTGAGCAACTTTGATATTGATAAATTTTTAGAAAAAGTTCAAAATAGTGTGCACTGGACCCATTCATCTTCTCGGATTAAAGTGTCACAGCAGTACTGATGTGTTCGTTTTTGTGGTTTTACGTTCGCTTCCACCATGGGTCATGTCTTTGTTTTTACTTTTATAGCCTTTGAAGTTATTAGGTTACCAAATACATACAGATGGCATCTGTTAACTCTATTGATATTTATTAGTTAGGTAGACAATTGTTTTACCGATCATTACAATGTTGGTACTGTGTAATAGTACTATCAGTATTTGCATCCATAAAATGGAAAATGACACAATAATACAGTTTTGGCATTTTGTTGCTTTTAAGTAAATCATTAGTCATTAAAAGAATTAAATCATCATTTTCATTCCATTATATTCATGTAGATATGAATATTAGCCTTTAAATTCTAAAACATTTATTATAGCCTAAAAACAAAATTATTCTAGAACATCTTAACACTGACAACCCTTATTAGTATTCAGGAATAGAGTCCTAAATGACAGGTGTTTATACAAGTAATCAGAATAATTTACAAAATCTTATTTGGGCACCGATTCCTAATGTAACTAGACATAATATAACAGGAGTTAGATGAAACCTAATAGATTTCACTTAAACAATGTCAGCTGTTGTCTATACCGGAAATAGACACATGTATAGAATAACTACTGGTTCTTTAGTCAATACTTTATACTTCCAGACAGTAAATATACTAGATGCCAATTTGAAAGAAGAAAGTGGGGTATCATTATGAGCATTTTTTTGTAAAAGGATTGTCCCCACTTAGCACATTGACCTAAATTACATCAAAATCTAAAAATCATATAAGACAATAGTATACACCATGATAAATTTATAGAACTGTGCCATTATTTGGTGTTAGGGCCAACTCCCAATAGTCAAATAATTAATCACAAAGAGATGATTATGACAGATTTTTATGACTCAGCTTCTGTGGGTGTATGTGTTGTTGCCTGGCAACCTATTTTCTTACATTACTGATATTTAAAATATAATCTTAGTCTTTCTGTAGCCAAGTCCCAATTTTATCGTATATAAGCCTGTATTTGAATTATTAATAAGTTTTCTTGTCAGTTCGTATACCAATAAATGACAAGATATTAAATCAGTAATGAAATATATTCCCCAGCAGCCAACAGTTCTTATTTTTCAGACATCAGAGTTTATGATGGTTATAAATATCATTAGTATTGATAAAACATAAAGCTAGCCATAACATGATCTCAATATTATGGTTTTATGTAATAGATTTACACTTTTGGCTGAAGGTGTTGTTCCAACTGGCAGTTCTGATAAATATTGGACTAGATATTAGTATAAATTGTGGTGTATGAAACTTTGTATGTTAGGATGAGCCTGGCTCTTTGAGCAAGCTCTGTCTATTTAGTGCATTACAAATGGCATTAAAATGTCATTGTATTATTTTTTGTAGTCATAATTTTGAAAAATGAAATAGAAAAAAAAAATTAATGCTCCAATTTCCAAACCAAAAAGTTGCAGTAATCTCAGTATCCTGTAAATATGTTAATCTCATGTGATGCCAATATTTTTTGCAAATTGCTTCGAGAAAATTCTTGAAGTGGTTTCACATGATAATCAACAAATAAAGAACATAATCTTCAATTTTAATGCTATCAGTTATTACATGTACTCATATTACATGACTACAGAAATTCTGTTTCAATTAATTGTGCAAAAAGTGTCTTCTTTGACTAGCTTATTAAATATCAGGAATTTTCTTTTGATATGTTTAGCTATCAATTTCGGTAATATTCATAATCATTCATTATGGCCTTTAGGCATCATTTTATGAAGATATCAAATTGATATTTGTATTTTTTTATATGATGGTAATAAGACATCATGTTTAAGGATATTGATTATTAAAGAGAAAATGATACTTTCACCATGAAATTTTATATACTTTTATCACTTCCGAAATGAACTTACAGACCATATCCTTACAGACTATGTCCTAATAGTCTAAATCACTGCAGACCAAATTGTCTTAGCCAGGTCTTCAAAATAGCATGAATTGTCTATATTGTGTAATACAGAAATGTCCTTACAATGTTATGTAAGGCTTACATCCTATGATTTGTTATTAGCATAAATGACCTTCTCATTGAGCTTAACGTATGCAGAATGCATTGTTAACCCTTTAGTACTTGGAGAAATATGATTAATACCGGTCCATCCCTGGATAAACCGAAAAAGTCTGAAACTGTTGTTCCTTGACAGCCTCAGTTGTCAAGGAATGGCTTTTCGTATTTTAGGACCATTTACTAGGGTGCCACATCTGTGCACTTGACAGGGCAGCATGGGATGGTCTAAGAAGTCATAGTTTGGGTGCTTTGGGGCAGTCTAACTGCTAAAAGGATAACTGGGGTATTGAATTGATCGAACATTTCCCATAAGTCATTGAATGAACTGTATATTCGAAGAGTCAAACAGCTAGTTAAACAGTCATTATGCAAGAGCTAAATCTGCCTATTGCAGGTCTTTCTTTAGGCCTTAAATGTTATATAAACTTTTAATTAAACATTTATTAACATGACAAGACCATAATCAACTCTCAATGCCATTGTATGGGTCCGATTTAAAACTAGCCGGGTAATCATAAATATTATTTAGAAAAAGATATGCTACAAAACATTTATAAAATGCAAAAACACCAGAAATTTTATGTGACTATAGAATCATGATTTCACATCACATGTCCACATTCCACCCTTGGTGAACAAGCCCTGTGTATAAGCGTACAAAGATGAAATGACACAAGATAATCCAGTACTCAAAAACTCTAAAACACTTGATGATATTGAAATATCTTCATCGTGTTTAATTTTTGTGCTTGAAGTGCTCAATATTGCTTTAAATGTTCAGAACTTAACACTGAAAACACATTCTTCACTTGTTTAAACAAACTTTTCTTTACATTAGACTTGCAGAGATGATGGCAATTACACTCTTTGAATAAAAATACTTCTAGGATCAATAAATCTTAATATTTTTTCAGAAATGAAAGACATGACAAGTAGTCAGATAAATGAAGTTTTAACAGAGTATGAGCTAACAATCAAAGAATTATCAGGAATGTTGGTCCATGAATTGGCACTAAGGGATGAACTGGAGTATGACAAGGAATTAAAGAATCAGTTTATATCGTTACTGCTGACCATACAGAAAAAACGACGAGACAATAATGTGGATAAGAAAAAACGACGATCTAAAACTTTTAGTAATAACAACAATAATGGAGCAGTTGAATCACCTGTAAATGCAGTAAGTTTATTTATTATGAGTCCAGTTCTTTTCATAAAAATAGAATATCAATGATAGAAAATTGTTAGGTTTTTTCTTGCATGTCTAAAACTTTTTGCCAACACAGGTAAAAAATAAAATATGAAGAATCTGGGTGTACAAATAGATTTTGAAATCAGGGGTGCAGTATTGTAGGTGCCATTCACTATTGACACTACTGATACATGCCCTTTATGACAGGGGGTTTGGGTGGCCTGAATGGCTTAAAGCATGCACGTTGAAACACAAGATCTGTCAATACTGTCATTAAGTAAGTGGCGTGGTTTATACTCCCTGTTTGTACATTACAAAAGTAGGGTCGCCTGTCTAACCTTGTGGGTTTTCTCTGGTTCCTTGAGTTTCCTCCCACTGCTAAAGACCCGTACATGCAAGCAAATTATTGAAATAAAATTGAACTGTATTTTGTGTCAAATAGATACTAAACCCCATTCCTCTAGAGCCCTTTCCCTTTAAGACAGGTGTTAATAATTCATTATGGTTAGATAAGACCGGAAAATAATCAGGACTGAGTCATTGGTACATTAGTTTACATATTCTAAAATTTGTTTCACAAGTTAATCACAAGGCATGTTTCTATAATAGTATAAGTGAATAGTGCCTGTAATTCACTAGGAACTTGGCAGACAGATAGAGTGGGTCACACCTATGCACTCTGTTTCTGGTTCTCATCTGGTTTAATTATTATAGGGTGTGATGATAGTCTTTGTATTTCAACTCATTTTAAAACCTCAATAAATGTTCTTGATGTATTCTAAATTATAGATGTTGTATAATAATTGTGACTCTTACATTTCAGCATCTAACCACAGTGATTCCATATCATCCTAACCAAGGTCCCCCAACTTCTGAACAATTACAGATATATATTAAAAGTAAGTACTGAGAAGAGATAAATAAACATTGATTGTCACAGTAAAAAAAGTTAACTTTGAAATAATGTGAATTGTTCTTTAGTTCTTTTAGTGCCACTGAGTAGCACATCATTCAGGCACTCTACAAGTGTATTAAATTTTATTACTTAACATTATTTAATTTGGCTAACTTGGGCGGTGACCAAATATCTATAAATTTGTGAAATCTGTCTTTTGACCAAATAGTAATAAAACATTCATAGAACCATGAATGCAAACTTCTTGTAAATATTTTTCGTTGAATTTCTTGAAATTGCCTGCAAATTGAACTTATTTTTGTACTACATGCAATAAATTATTTAACTGTAAACATTATTTTCTTTGTGTTTCTAGTACTACAGGCAATAAATGAAGATAGTTCAACAGTACCCACACTTCTTACTGACTACATTCTAAAAGGTGAAATTACAATTAATATTGACTATCCATAATTTATTAACATAATTGACAAATAACAAGATCTTCAATAGAAGGCTTGATCTCACTTTGGCCTGATGCATCTTATCAAGGCCTTCAAGTAATACTCTACATTTTTTGTTACTAATTTCGATTGTTCTAGGACACAGCCTTAGACCTCTCAGATTCCTCTATAGAAAATATCATCTCTAAAAGGCCTTCTAGGTCTTGCACTTTCCAACTGAAATGTCTACCTGTGATAATCGAGTTGGAAAGTTTTTCCAACTTAAAAAAAATAATTCTATTCCTTTGTGTTTGTATCCCATTATTGTTCACATGTTTGCTGTAAAGGGATATAATGTACCTTAAAGTTTGTGAATTTTACCAAACTAGCAACGGCTAGAAGTTGTCATTGCTTCAGAAACATGAAAGATCAATGGCAACGAAACTTATGGTATTGGTAGAGGAATGTCTCCCAGTTTCCATTTTTGTCCCCCGCCTTTCGAAGAAAGCAGGGTACTATTAAAATGGGTTCGTCCGTCCGTCTGTCTGTCTGTCTGTACGTCAGACTTTTTGGGAAACAATAACTCTTTTTCTAATTGAGCTAGAATGTTCAAACTTGGTGTAGGTATTTATTAGGTCAATGCCTTGATGGAGTTCGAAGATGAGCATTTTCTGTTTAGGGTAAGCAGAGATAAGCAATTTGATTGGTTGATGCTTTGGGACACGATAACTTTACTTCTAATTAAGTGAGTGATGAAACTTGGTGTATAGTTTCATTATATCATTACCTTGAATAAGTTCGATGGTGAGAATTTTCTGCTTAGGCTAAAGAGCGATAAGCAATTTGATTGGTCAAGACTTTGGAACATAACAACTCTGCTTTTAATTGAGGTAGAATGTTTAAAATTGATGTAGATGTTCATTAGGTGAATGTCTTCACTGAGTTCAATGATTAGCATTTCGAGCTAAAGCTAAGCATAACTAATCAATTTCATTGGTCGATGATTTGGGATAAGATAATCTTGATTCTATCTGATAGAGAGTGATGAAACTTAGTGTGTAGTTTGATTGCTCGATACTTTTGAAAAAAATAAATGTGCGATTAATTAATATGTGTCATCTATTTATTTTGGGATTTCGGCGTGGAACATCAGCCTCACTGTTGGCTTGTTGAAATTCGTAAAGAAAGTTTGTCTTGTTGTTTAGATTGAAAAAGGAAGATATCTTGATCCTTCTATAAAGTCAAGGCACAATCTTTGTCTGCATACATTTATTGTTTCCTAATAAATTATTTAGAATCTCCATTTGAGATAAGAAAATGCCATGTTCGTTCCAAAACGGCCTAATTGGTCTAGATTAGAAGTTACACCCCCATCTCTCGTTGAATAAACTACACCACAAGCTTTTAAGTCTTTATTATCTTTGATAAATTGTTAATGTTTAAATTAGAGTAGCAGAAATAGCAAACTAACTAGTTTAATAATTGTTGAAATTTATATTTCAGTTCTATGTCCCACGTAATGAGAAGATTTATTATAACTGTAGTAATATGAAAATGTGACTACATTATGGGTGCCAATGTGATGTCAGTGTTAATCAAGACATTAAGACATTTGAAAGTGCTTAATGATACAGTAGTGATCTAGCTTTTTCTACATATAAACCAGACCCCTGCTTATTGTCTCATTGTGTTTCAAATTCTATAGATGTTTTGTACAACTGTCAAAGGGTGTGTTGTGGTCAGGACTAATACTGCTTAAATGTATTTGATATGAAAAATTGTTTGATTTTCTAAAAGAAAAAAAAAATATCACTCATGAGTCATTATTTACCAATCTAAATATAATTTAAAAAAAAAAAAAAAAAAATATTAAACTAAATTTTAAAACATAATATCAAAATTTGCATGTAAATTTATAAATGTTTTCATTTATCATCTGTTTTCATGAAAATTTTTACAATTTCATCAATTTTTTTTGTACATACCATTCTATTTATCTACCTACATAATTCATTTTTTATTTGATACAATACTTAATGGGTTTGTAAGTGTTTCAGTGTAGATGTATGGTTGATGTTTAATTTTGTGAAGGGTATTTTATCACAGAGATTCACGTCTGAAATATTGAAAGATATCTACATACTTATCTTGGATAACTGATGGAATGAAAACACCAGGTCATGATGAATTTATCTTATCTTATTAATGAGTTAATAAATTTGAAATGATGAAATCAGTTCTCTTAAGGTTATCTGTAAAAAAATCTATGTCAATTTTCTTTTAATTGTTGTATAATTACAGTATACTTGAGTATATAAACAGTAATATGTGGTTGGTTGTTTCTGAAAATTTTCTCCATAGTGCATATTATATAGCATGGCTTAAATATTAATAACCAATATGATGATTCTATTATTATTATTACACAATTCATATTAGGAGCAATGCAAGATTGCTACAAATTACTAGGGGAATAATAACTCCCCCACCTTTTTACCTTAAACATTTGTTTTTACTCAACTTAAGTTTCAACTCAAATTTAAATCACTTGATAATAGTGATCACCTTAAAATTTACAATTGAAAACAGTATTGATCATTTTCTTTCGACAAATTGCATAAACACAGATCAAAAAAATGTGCTGAAGCTATTTTAGGGTGAGTAACAAATTGAGTAATTAAGTTGAATGAAAAATTTTTTTTATGACACTGGATTCGGATATGTTATTTGTAAATGATGGTATAAATTATTGTGAAATCTAGTGAGATATATTGTTTGTATATTTGTATTATAAACTCTAGCTTAGGTAATCATAAGAAATATATATGTAGGAGCACAATAATTATAGAAATTAGTACAAAATCTGAATTGCAAATAATGGATCAAATTGCCAAACTGTAACATTCATAAATAGTCTGTTGAAGATTACTCTTTGAGGATAAAATTAGAAAGTATAGTAAACTTGATTTAGTAGAATAAAAAAGATGTGAAAGTCATAAAGGTTTGAAAGTCATAAAGGTTGACAACAGAAAACTCATAACTTAAGTTTCTCTATCATATATATATATATATATATATATATATATATATATATATAGCTTGTCGTTGTTAAATTAAGTACTTTATCATTAAGTGTTACATATTTTAGTTATTGAAAACCACAAAATATGACCCGCAAAACCATTGTGCATATATATAATATTTTAAATACACCATGCTGCTTCCAGTAATGTTAGACTTTTACTCTGGAATAGAATGGATTATCTATTCCAATGTTGATATTAAAAGTATTAGAAAAGCTTTAAATTGTGTATATGTCTACTAGGTGTATATTTTAAGGAATATATGTCAGTGTGTAAATAATTGCAGAAATGGTTTTAAACTTACACGCATTTAATTACTTACATCTGTAGAAATCAGTGAATATTGAGAATAGCGGCCAAAGATATGGTTAATTGATGATGTTATAAAGGCCTGTTTGGTAGTCAGTCAATTTACAACTGACTCGTCAGTGGTAAGCAATATCTAGGATAAAATGTCTGGCTAGAACTATAATTTCATTTATTTAATGATAGAAATTTCCATGTATCCAGTATCAGACACTAATGTTTTTAGCATGTGAACACTTGTGTGTGTGAAGCTGTTTAACAATGTCTCAATTCTATAATGGCTTATCAATATATATAGTGATAATTTAGTGTAAGGGCAATGTGCAAATATAATAACCTAACTGTTAAAATCAATATAATATACAAATGTGTTGTTGTTAGTATGATATAGTAATGAACAATGTGTGGTTATACACTATAGATAAAGCATAATGAAACTCTTTCAAATAAAGGAATATGGTCAGTATTGATTTGTTTTAGGTGTATAAATAAAGTGTTTCATTAAAACCTATATAGAATCATGCTTTTCATCTGCACATTTATAATGTTATTAATTCAATAATTAATTGTATGCAGGACATGAAATGACTCACTGACCCCAAAGTCCAGTTTGTCTTTCAACCTTAGTTTTGTGAAATATTTGAGGATTAATAAAACCCAATAAAATTCATACAAAATTGAAGATACACTACTAGTTGTAAAGATAGGCTATTAGTGATCAAATATTAAAACTAATATTATTAGATTTGATGATTTATATTTAGCATTTTATAACTGATATTAATAGTCAAAGTTTCATTTAGAAATATCAAACTGCAGTTTCTGTGTAAATTTGCATTTATTAGATGGGTATAATTATCTGTAAAAAAATAAATAAAATTAAAAAAAAAACAAAAAAAAAACCCTAAAGAAAATAACATAACATTATTTAACATCAAAAATAGAATTCTCAATCAAAATTATAATGGAAAGAAAATCAAAGATCAAAGAAACCATCAAAAATAATTTCCAAACTAATCACATCTGAGAACACTCATAGTAATCAGTAAGAAAATATAATAGGTAATCAAATAAATGAATCAAATGTATTTAAATTAATGATCTTTTAGTGATACATTTAGAAAAAAAAGAGCCAATAATCATTGTATCCACTATTCTGGGAGAATCTCGGATAAACAGAAATTCAATCAAATTCAAATCGGAACATATTCCAATCATTGTTTACCGAATATATGAATTAGAAGTATGAATATTAATAACAACAGTGATATTCACTTCTTGTTTATTTGTAAATAATACTTATTTAAAGATATTATTAACTATAAAGAAATATTGAAATTATTATAATTAAAGATATAATGCTTTGTATATTATGATTATTGGCAGCACAATATAATAATGCATAAATATAGTCACTTGTTACTGGTCATATGTATAATTGCTTTTGTTGTATGTAATTCTATAGACTTGTATATAAAACTTTGTTGTGTAAAACAGATTTAAAAATTAACAAAATGATAGTTAAAACACTAAAACGAATGATTATGGGGAAAAAAATTAAATAGAGACACCAATTTTGAAAGAACAATTGATAATTGAATTAAAACATACTCATCTGCATTAAATATTTATATAAATATTTCTTTTCAATATTGTAAAATAAAATAAGGTTAATCTTGACAAGGATATTGTTGGAAAATTCAGAGGATATTGTTGGAAAATTCAGATTTTTTTGATCTGAGGGAAATCCGGAATGATATTATTTAGAAAATCTAATGTTTACTTATTACTTTTATATTAGATTAATTCTTGATATACATACTTAGCTTGCCAATTTATGATATTTGTAAACATTTATTGCATAATAGTTTTAAGCTTATTTGTAGTTAAAATACTAGGTTTTACAAGTTGTCATTTGTCACAATCGGATTTAAATACAGATCTATATTTCATTTCATTTTTTTATACTTTCGATGGCCTACACTACATGAATGAAGATGACTGGAAGATGACCTTATGCCGTCAGATTTTGATTAATCAATCAGCATTGACGTTTCTAGTGGTTTACCCACAGCTCTGTGCATGGCACACCAAGAAGTCACTGTAACAAACCCTTTCATTGGCTAATCCCTCACTTTAACCAAAACGCCTGTAATATAACAACTCTTCCAGATCCTAATGTAGTGAAGACAAGTGAAACGAAATTTTGAACTATAAAAAACGAAACGAAAATAATCTGTGTTTTAATCAGATTGTCATTTGTCATTGCTATTTAATTTATAAAGATACTTGCTAATACTTGAAAACCAATAAATGTAAATAAATGCGAAACTTACACAATATATCTGCAAACATTAACAGGAACAAAATTCATTGATTTCTCATATAGTTTCATATAGTAAGTTCAACCAATACAAATTCAAATAATGCGAGCAAGAGAGAGAAACTTTGGTAAACTGGGTAATTTCTGAGCAAACGTAATGAACACTTTTCTGTAGAAAGCTTTAGAAGAGGGGTAAGCCTCATGAGATAAGACTGGCAACTTTAATACTTGTCATATATAAGTGTGAGATTGATCCAATCTCCCCCCCTCCACTTTTTAGATAATATTATTGCATCAATATCAACAAGATTTAAATAAATTAGGTCTAATAAACTGTATTTTGTTAGATTGTATTGTGAGAACTAACTATTCGCTAGAGAGTAAATCAAATAAATGAATGGCAACACTGGTTTCCCAATAAAAATAAAACTGACAGTTTTTATATAAAAATTATTGACATTTTACTGTAAAGGTGTGTTATATAATTATTTGTATGGCTTTGTGAACAAAAAACCTTAAAATCTTACAAGTAGAAAGAAATGTGTCAGTGAAATACATCTATCTTAATGCTGCAGCAGCAATGTTAAATTGATAATCAATGAGTATATTATTTGTTGATATCATTTGAGTTCAATATTTTAGTAGTAAATTTATTATAACTATTTGTATATCTGTAAAAGCATTTTTAGTACCGTATTAAAACATATATACAATTTTAAAATATTGATATAGTATTGCTTTTAAAGACTTCATTTTGTACATACTTTCTTGCAGTTTGTAAGAATTAATTTATCATGTATTTTAAATTTATGTTGTATTAGTGTAGCTTTTATGACAGCCTCATTGAATAAATTGGCTTTATGAAGAAAAATTTGTCTGGTTAGATTCTTCCTACCGTGAATTACCATATTCGCTCAGTTTAAGGATTTAGCTGTATTTCTGTTGGATTTGGTAGAACCACCAGTGTAACAAACTGCAGCACATTTATGACTAAAAATTTGGCTTACTGAAAAACTCCTTGGAAGTTATATCAGCACTTGAGCTCCTGCCTTAACACTGACACTACTTAGCCTACTGCTAATCGGTGCAATGGTTTGGATTTATATTTCGGAAGTTGAAGTCAAAGGCTCAGGTTGAATCTATTGAGTAGAAGGTATGACATTGAAACATTTTAAGGGATGGGGGCAATGTTTGGGAAGCGGAGGTTACTATTATATGTCATGACCCCAGGTACTGTGCTTGGTGTGAACCAAAAATAATCTTCAGGATCATTACAGCATTGTCCTGGTAAGAAAAAAGAAGAGTAGGTTGAAATTCTGCTTAGGGGAAATTTTTTTCGCCCTCACATGGCACATGTTTAACATCCAACTTTTCTGCTTCAACCCAGCTAATGATTGTAATATTGTCCAAAAGGAAAGGGAGATAAACTTAATTTAAAGTAACCCATAAATCCTATATTTTATTTCAAAACATGACATTATGAAACATTGTATATACACCCAAAGTGTGGCGAAAAGCACTTGTTACCCATAACCTTTCATTTAAACTTCTCACAGTAACACGATCGGTGTTGTTATGCCTGTGTTGCTATTAACTACTGGAGACAGATGACTGTAGGACTGTCGACTTTTAGATCATAAGATCCGCCATTGAATAAAGTGGCATGGTTTAGATCACACACTTGTACAGGTTAAGGAGTAGAGATCCCTGCCTGACTTTGTGGGTCCTTCAGTTTCCTTTCACTGGGGCCATGGTGGCTCAGTAAGTAAGACGGCTCATTAACCTGGACTGGAGATCATGTGTTCAATCAGAAAGGTTATCACGATTTTTCAGCATGGGTCCCTCTTGTCAGTGCTGCATCGCAGGGCGAATGGCAAGGGACAATGGATGAAAAACCAAGGTCCCATGACACCTTGGCATGTACATAAAAAAACCCATGACTGTTGGAATTCCATTTAAGAGTAGGCGGTAGTGCTGCCGAGGGCAAAATTTCCCTCATAGCACACTGTATAACATATTCCCGTCATCAATAGGCAAGTCGGAGCAGAACAGTAGCACGATAAATCCCAATTCATCCCCCCACACCCCCCACTGCTAAAGATACGCAAACAAATTATTGAAATAAACATTACCATGTTAGTACTGAAATGACTTAGTTTCTGTTGAGCGGACATTAAACCCAATTTCTTGCTCTCTCACTCGATGATGATGTATTATTTGCTAGTTGAAAAAAATTACTTTGCATTCATAATATATCCAAAATATTTACAGAAAGGACTTATGACTTTTTTTTTTCTTATGCAATCTAACACCAGTAAAAAAAAAAACAACATTTTGTCCAAACAAACGTTTATTTCTATAAGACATAAATACTACAAAATGTATACAAATAGTTATACACCTTTTGTCTCAGCACTGAAATCTCATTTTATACACGCTCCTTTTTCAACACAGACAACATACTCATACAATGACAATGGACTAAACAAAAGAAAAAAGATGATCAAAATTCAATGAAGAAATTGCATGTAAAAATAAAATGAACAGCAAGATTTACTAGACAAGGTATATAACAAAACTAAAATAAAAACAAATATATTAAAGTTACATGATCGTCTCTTCAAGCAGTCATTTACATATATTTACTACATTTGATTAAGGAAGATTAATTATCAAAGACCTTGTATTTGGTCATTTATATTTAATCATCAATATATAATTACCAACCGAGTGTTGGTTGTTAATTTAATATTCTATTTCAAAGGTGAAACAAACATTGATAATAAAAAAAAAAACGTGAGGACAATGAATATTTACACTTGTTATTCATAGCAATTTGTTAATACTTTTCAACGGTAGTTAAAAAATATACTCCTTTAAAGTCAATGATAAGGATTATTACACAGGGCTCTTTGAACGAGATCTGGAGTCCAGTTTACCAGTTCTACTGCCACTTCGACTCCTGGATTTGCTACGACTATCACTTCGAGATCTACTCCTTGAAGGACTTCGCCTGTCCCTGGAACGACTTCTGCTACCCCTGCAATAGGAATTAATTTTTTTTTGTATATTGAACAGCACTTTGTTTTAAATGCCCAACAAATTACACACTTCTTTATCTTCAGGATAGTAACTTTGATACATTAACAAATTTACTGGAATAAATTCTATTTGTATATCCTTGAACAGTTATGAAATATGTTGTACAATAACAATTCTATAAAGACATAACTACTACGGAATAAAATGAATTTATTTAAATACCTCTTAGGACCATCTTCAACGAGTCTGATCTTTCTACCATTGATCTCTGTACCGTCTAGTTTCTCCAAGGCATTTCTCATATCTGAAGATGTGGCAAACTCTACAACACTGCAATACAAATTATGTTAGACATAAAAGGACAAATAGTTAATGCCTTTCATCATTTAGTAATTTGGGGAGAAGCAATCAATCAACCTATAGCCGGTCAAGCAATAGCTCGCGTTCCAAGAAAACTGGGAGTGGGAGTCATGGTTGCTCAGTGTCAAAGAGGTTCTGGGTTCTATCCAGTGTTGGTCAAGAAAGCTCTACAGACTTTTCCATGGTGCAGGAAGGGAGGAGGGCCTGGCAAGAAACGGTGTCTAATCGATCGGATGGGATTAAAAACTGTGGTTTAGCCTAGTTGGTTCAGAACGTGCAGTGGTAAAATAAAACCCCATTTTATTTCAATGACAACTTCACAAAATTGGAAAAGCAGTTTTTGTTTGTTGCAAATACTAATACCGAAAGTAGCTGTGCATACATTCACAGTAGTGCCTATGTGCAAAATATTTCATGCACAAATGCTTACCCTTCATTCTTCTGTTTCTTGTGAGCATCAGCATATGTTACTTCACCAGCTTGTCTCATATAATCTTTCAGATCCTATAATGTAGATAAGATAATATTAAAGAAGTGGAAAAAAACTTGTCGATTCAGATTTTAAACTTTACACTGTGACTGCTGTAAAATAAAGTACTTTACAAAATATCTTCTGCACTTCTATAGAGCTATAAACAAGTTTACACTTTCATTATTGTCCAAGGTTTTCAACAAATAAATATTTCTGATCATAGTCTCAAAATATAACATAAATTATGATTTAGTTACGTAAAATTGTTCAAATCTGTGTCTCAAAATATAACATTTGCATATAATGTAATTATATAATCTAGTCCTCATCCTCATGTTCATTTTGTAAATTTTCTTTAATTACCATAAATTTGTACAGCATGGTGAGTTTTTTCTTAACTAAATCAAATTATTTAAGCTATGATTTATATTACTAAGTATGTAAATATAAATTTGTCTATGATCAATTTACCTCTACAATAGCCTGTTTAATTCAAATTTAGATCCTCAATTGAAGGGTCAGAGAGTGGATTGACCCCTTTATAATGCCCAATAATACTTCCAAACATCTAGCCACTCATAGTTAACTCTCCTTAAGACCAGTGATTTTTAAGCCACTTCATGATACAAGAGCAGACCAAACCAAGTCAAAGACGAGTAGGACATCACAAGAAATAACACCAATTCTTTACAAGAAAACATGGCCCGGCTTCTCCTATTTCAATAATTCTGATCTGGTATTTTTTTTCTCAAAACCTTGTGATCTTGGGGAACATCCGATGTTCGAAATGAACCAAGCTAGGAGTAGGATGGACATCAATATTGCCAGTGAAATATTCAACCTTCAGATTTGAAACAGGAAGAACCCAGATTTCGGGACCTTAAAGACTCCAAGCTAGAGCCGCAAATCACCCTTTCCTCTCTCTAATTCCTTTCATAACATATGTATCATTTAATTAGAATTCATATATGCTACAAAATAAAATAATCATGATATTATTATGGCATGAATATGAAGCAAATGAACAAGATTGAAATATAGAAATATCTCATGGAAAAAAAGGGTGCCATAATTAAGAATATCCAAGTCAAACAATAATCAATATATCAACATCAAACATACCTGCCAACTAACTCGTGATGAAAGGTTTTCAACTAAGACTCTGTAACCAGTTCGGGTTGGTGGTCCGTACCTATTCCATACAAAATTTCATTATTTCTTTGCTAATCAAAATATTATTTAATTACGACACTTCTATCTCACTCTCAGGTTAAGTATTCTTCCTATATAATTAAATGATGTTAACATACCTGACCTGTAAGTGCATCAAGCCACAGAAAAACATTAAAACTTTAAAATATAATCTGAATAGCATTGGAATCAATCAGTCTTACTTATCATTCCTCATTCCTCCTCCACCACCCCTTCTATCACCATATCCTCCTCCAAATCCACGACCACCTCTTCCACGGGAATAACTCCCACCACCCCCTCCTCCTCCTCTACGATTATAATCATCACCTCCCCTTGGTCCTCTAGCATGATTGACTATAACTCTGAAAGATAAAGAAGCTACATTAACAGAGTTGACAGTTATTATCAAAGTCACATTTCACAGAATTCCCATATTCAGGTTCTGGATGTATCCAAATCTGGTTTCACCACAAAAATGTTTTTACCTTTCTCCACACAAATCCTTTCCATTTAATTCATAAACAGCATCATCTGCATCTCTATGGTCATCAAATTCCTGAAAAGATTGGAATTTTGTTTCAATGTGAGAACAAATTTTGTAAAGAAAATTTATATACAATGCTGTGCCAAAATCAATGTCTGGCTGTTAATTTTAAAGTAGCTAAGTCTCTAAATCAATATCATCCAAAGTCTTTGACATTGAAAACACAAATTAATTGTCAATTTAAATCAAAAATTGATGTTGTGATCTTACCAGGAAAAGATGGGCTTCTGATATCCAATATTTTAGACAAAATAACCATTTTACCATTGGTACACGAACCGTGTACCATAATGCATTTCAGCACTATTTGTAACAAGGGACTCGAAGAACGAAGGCTAGACATATTTCACAATTCATGTCAAACAGTGACACCATATTGTTATCTGGAGAGTATGTGCAATAAATACTATCAGTGTAGACTGGAATAACCAGACGGTAGAGATTGCAATTCAATTTAGACTTCTGACGTATTTCGCCGAACATAACTGATTTGAAACAAGAGTAAAAACGGAAACGATTGAATGTAAATCAGTTCATATACATTCATATTACATTATAATATGCGCTGCGACCCATATGTGTCAATTTCTAGGTTAGGAATATTAGCGATTTAGCTGCTTTAAATCTATATTCTAAACAAGAAATTATTTCTTTTAAATGTACTTACAACAAATCCATAGCCATTTTTCAGCATAACATCCCGAATTCTGCCATAAGACCTGAAAAATCTTTCAACATCTTTCTCTCGAGCATGATGGGATAATCTACCAATATAAACTCTAGTTCCCATTTTCCTATAAAATAATTAAAGAAAATGAATATGAAGAATAGGAAAAGGGTACCAGTATGCGTAGCAATGTTAAACCCCAACAAATTTTAACAATCATTCCCTTTGGCTTTACCAACATTAGCAAACTTCTACAATGTACTTCTAGGCCATGCCTATTTCATATCAAATATAATACTTCCTTTTTGACTTGTTTTTAACACAAAGTCACAATGCTACGTTGACCAGGAAATGATTCACTAACTAAGAAGTCCTGGTTCAATCCAGGTTTTCATGCATCGAGTATCGTCTATCGCGTAAAACTTTTTCACTGTTTTATATATTAATGATAGTGAGGTTCGGGTTAGCAATTTTGGCAAACCATGGACCAACTGGTTATAGGGACATTTAGTGATTTAGATCTGATGGACAAATATCCACAGGGATTGAAATAATTAATAACTTGAACTTGAATAAATCTTTGTTAATCAAATATGGTACCAGTTATTTTTAATGGCTAATTGTATATCATATATTTCGCTAAAAATAGAATTAGAGGATAGCTCCAAGGGCAAGGAATAGCATTTAATAAATTTCGTCTCAAAGTGAATGACGGGAAAAAAAATCCGATTCGTGACTGGCAAGAAATTATTTTATATGATTATTAAAATAATATTAATTAAATTACTCATCGAGTTGACCGAGTATGACCATTCAAGCGACATTTCTTTTTTTTCGATGAAAAACTCCCTGATTTTACTTAGCCCTATCTTCGATTCAACACTTCTAGATAACGATTCTAACAGTCTTTCATAGATTTATCCAGAAACATTAACAATGGCGGCTTATCCAAGAAATTGGGTCATGCGGTAGGGTCTCGGCTAAATAAATGTGTATCATTTTCTAGCACAGACATCAACATGCTGTTTTAAGCAAGACATAATACTAATTAATACACCATGTACGGTTTAATTTCGTCTAAAAACAGCAAAGAGTTAATACTTAGCCTTTGTTAAACTTACAAAATTTGTATGTGAAGACTTCCTAATCGACAAATGGAACACTGTAAATGCTACACGAAGCAATAGAGTCAGAATCAACAGGACGCTTTTAATGATGGTGATGAACAGGAGTTGCAAGAACTAGTTAATCGTGCCTAAAGGAAGTAATATTAGCGCGTGCGCTGTTTGACGTCACACCTGTTCGTTGTTGCAGACTCCGTTAATTGCATCTTCGGGGTAGAAATTCAACTTCCATGTCCGAGTGAGAAGCGGACGTCAATCCCTATGTACTTACTAATTTTTGCATTCCAAATTTACCTTGTCTGAGATATCACACTTGTGGATTGTAGTGGACGTTGGCACTTTTAAATGGGATGGGAAGTGGCGAGAAAAATAAAATGATTATCATAATCATTCTCATTCAGTCATTGACTTGTGACGTTGTGTTGTATTTAATATTGAAAATATTCATAATTTATATTAGCCTATAATCTATAGCCGTATAAAAAGCACAATTTATTTCTTGACATACCCTGCCCTTTTTCGTAATGAAATGTTCCCCTATACCTTAAGATTCGGGAACGTAGGTTATAATTGAAAGACAAGACTGTCCAATCTGTTTCACAGAGAATTACGAGTCTCGTATAATATCTCTGTCATAGATGACTGCCTTAACACGTGCTGTCACAGCACGCGGTGTGAATCATTGGCTGAATGGCGCGTGCATTGTTTACATAAGACATAACTGCTTCGGAGAGAATGCTGCATTTTAGTCAATTTAATACCCATTTACACTAAATCGGAAATAATTTTTACCTACAAATACGTCAAACGCCTTTATTAATTTTTTCAATACATACAAAAAATGTTTTAGAATTTAATTTGTCGCAGGAAAAAAGTTAATATTTCTAGCTCATTAAGCCGCATCAATGTCATCCTTATCAGTGATTGTCGCGGCCAAGCAAATATTCACTGCGGATCAGTGTGAAGACTGTCCCCTACAAATAGTATAATAATTAATATACGTCACGGGGGTTATTATTTGGGCGACGTTTTGATCATCTCAGCGATTAGAACCTAAATCAAAATATTAAATTGGTGGTTAATCCACATTTATTGATTTATGAGCGAAACCGAGCTACACGAGTAGAGCCCTGGAGCTTGGTATTTTTTAAATAAGTCAACCATGGGATCACGAATCAATGTTACCAACTGTTGAATGGTACCAACTTAATGGAGTAATATGAATCCTATTCAAAACTTAATCCACAGGCTAAACATTTCCTCGGAAAAGTTAACTGTTTCAACAAAACAATATTTTAATAACAGCACCATTGATCTATTCCACCCGATAGTTCACAGACATTAATAATCATTAACTGACAAGAGGAGGCCCATATCAAATTTGACTGAAAACCAGAAAATTGGATAGGCGTTCCGATCGTCCCCAGCCCCTCCCGCCGGGCGCGGAAGGTAGGCGTAAAGGCAAGGGCCCCATGAGACCAATTAGTAAGCGACCCCACCATGAAACAAAGTCCCCTCAAGCCCAGTCCCAAAAATTGAGACGCTCATGCATGCAGTTAGCCTATCTGAAATTCCCTCGTCGCCTCCACTCCTCTGTCTTAGTAGTCTATCATACCACCACTATCATATTCACGGTCACAGTTAATACCGTAGCTCAGTAGTACCGCTAGTGAGTAGATCGACAGATTACAGATTTTATGGCAACTCTCAGAAAACGGGCCTCGAGATTCTGTACCATTTCTTATCCTCTCGTTTACTAGAATTTGCCATAATTTTTATGTTATGCCTACGGCGCTGGATTCCGTTTATAGCACCTTCCTTCACTCCTCTGTGGTCCAGTGACGGACCATGGCGAGGGCAACAGAGGCAAATGCCTAGGGCGCGGCGATTCTGTCCCTCACGTTCACAATGATTTGCTCTCAGCAATGACCTCATTTATATCCCTTACGTTCACAATTTGCTCCCAGCAATGACTTCAAATGGCAGAATATCGACTCAATTTTTCAAAATTCTCTTAGGGAAGAGACCCCCCCCCCACTTCTGATTGCTCATGGTTGTCACTGGCCCCAAAGGTTAACAAAAATTTAATAAAATAAAATCATGACTTCACTTTATGCCAACTTGAAAAAACTGCTTTCCGGTGAACAACTATCATTACGATCTGTTTTAACGGGACGTTCAGGTTATATTGCCAGTATTTTGTGAACATTCATTGCAGGTGTGATTCTGGATGTGTCAACCTCCCCCAGCTTCTGGATGCGCTACTATCGTCTTCGTTGATGTTATCGAACGGACATTTTTTTGCTGCCAAGAATTCTGACAAATCTGGGAATACCTGAAAACTTCTGAGTTTTAAGTGTCTTGTGAATGAATGCTCCCATGAACACGAGACCATCTACCTTTCCCAAAATGTCAAGAATATACATGTATACGGAACTTTGTTCAGGCCCCTAAATAAAAAGATTTTTGACTGGAAATGATATATTGACTTGCCATTTGGATGCAATTTAAGTATGGCCTTGTCCTGTAGTTGGATGCACCAGAAGATGTACCATTTCAGGTGAATGATCATGCAGAAGACGCAAGTCCAACAAAAGCTCCCCTACCCCATAAGAAGTGACATCAGTATTTCAGTTAAGAAAGCTACCCTTTGTAGGTTATATTTTTTCCTATGTAAGCGCTAAATCTGCTTATTGCTGGTCTTTTCTTGCCTCAATGTTATAAAAACTATTTAAACATTTACTTAATGACAATCCCATAATCAACTCTCTAGGACATTGGAAGGTCGAGATTTAAAAATTGGAGGATAAAATAAAAAATCAAATACTGTTCATAATGATCAATAATCTATGCTAGGATCTTGTCCAAACTACTCAGATTATAAAAGTAAATTGAATGAATTTTTCAATTACGGTTATTATAGCAAGAACAGCCAGCTCTTCCTATAAATCTTACATACTGCATTTTTAATGAAGAATTGACATATTGCCTGGCGTTGATAAATATGGTCAGTATCACTGTGAAAAGCTAAGTATTTCATATGATTTTATTTACATAAAAGTGAAATGGTGACAATGGGGATGTTTAGTATATACATTCAAAATTAGTTTTAACATAACAGATTGCACCAGCAACCATTTACTCATACAATATTAAATTCACTACCAATTGCTTAGGTTTTCAATGTAAGCAAATGTCTAGTTTCATTACATGTGGCACAATTTATGTACAAGTAGTAACTTATTTTATCCACATATTGTATAATGTGTATATTAATATATTTAAAAACATAAAATTTAATCATCTTGTTCATGAATAGTAGCATTTTCTTCACCGTTTGTTTTAGCAGGAGTTCTAGACTTGGAACGTGAATAAGAACGTGATCTAGATCGTGATCTTGATTTAGACTTTTCCCTAGGTGGGCTTTTTGAATGCGATCTTGAATCTCTTTTGCCATTTCTACTCCCACTTCTGCTTCTGGATTTACTATGACTCCTGCTTCTGCTCCTTGAACGACTCCTAGACCGGGATCGACTGCGCGAGCGACTTCTTCTAGACCGAGATCGGCTACGACTCCTGCTCCTGCTGTAAAAATCAAATTAATAAGCCAATTAAATTGATAGTAGAAAACGTTAATTTCATATACACATATATAAATATTTTAAGCGACGTTCAGCAAAAATTATGTTGTCATCAAGGTCTTCAGACCCGAAAGATGATATTAGAACATCACAACGTCATAATGCTCAATAAATCCCACCGGAACAAAAGTTAGGCTAAATATAAATACTGAAAATTTACTTTATTCTTGTTAAGTCAGTGCCCTTGTATTTGAAACAAGCCAACAGTAAGGCTGATGTCCCCCGCCGAAATCCCAAAATAAATAGATGACACATTAATAGCACATTTATTTTTTCAAAAGTATCGAGCAATCGAACTATACTCTTAAGTTTCATCACTATCAGGTAGAATCAAGATTATCTTGTCCAAAGCATCGACCAATGAAATTGATTAGCTCTGCTCAGCTTCACCTCGAAATGTTAATCATTGAACTTAGTCAAGACATTCATACATCAAGTTTAAGCATTCTACCTCAATTAAAAGCCGAGTTGTTATGTTCCAAAGTCTTGATTAATCAAATTGCTTATCGCTCCTTAGCCTAAGCAGAAAATTCTCACCATCACCATAATGTCCTAAAATCCAACCGAAGCTGCTCTTTGAATCTATATTCAGAGTTTCATCGCTCTCGCTTTATTATAACCAAAGTTATCGTGCCCCAAAGCATCAACCAATCAGATTGCTCGTGTCTGCTTACCTTAAGCAGACCATGTACATCATCGAACTCCATCAAGGCATTCACCTAATGAACATCTACACCAAGTTTGAACAGTCTACCTCAATTAGGAGAGTTATTGTGTTCCAAAGTCTTAACCAATCAAATTGTTTATCGTTATGCTTACCCTCAGCAGAAAATTTTCATTATCAAACTTGGTCAAGGTATTGATGTAATAAAGCTATACACCAAGTGTCCCCACTCAATTAGAACTAAAGTGTCTCAAATCATCAACCAATCAAATTGCTTATCTCTGCTTACCCTAAGCAGAAAATTCTCATCTTCAAACTTCATCAAGACATTCACCTAATTAGAATGAGAGTTATGTTCCAAAGTCTCAACTAATCAAATTGCTTAACGCAGAAAATGCTCATTATCGAACTTAGTCAAGGCATTAATGTAATGAAACTATACACCAAGTTTCATCACTCTCACTTAATTAGAACTAAAATTATCGTGTCCCAAAGCATCAACCAATCAAATTGCTTACCCTAAGCAGAAAATGCTTATCTTCGAACTCCATATGGCATTGATCTAATAAACACCTACACCAAGTTTGAACATTCTAGCTCAATTAGGAGAGTTATGTGTTCCGAAGTCTCAGCCAATCAAATTGCTTATCACTCGGCTTACCATGAGCAGAAAATGCTCATCATCGAACTTAGTCAAGGTATTGATGTAATGAAACTATACCTTCAAGTTTCATCACTCACTTAGAACTAAAGTTATCGTGTCCCAAAGCATCAACCAATCAAATTGCTCATCTTTGCTGACCCTAAGTAGAAAATGCTCATCTTTGAAATCCAAGGCATTAACCTAATAAACACCTACACCAAGTTTGAACATTCTAGCTCAATTAGAAAGTTATTTTGTCCCAAAAAGTCTGACGGACAGACAGACGGATGGACCCATTTTAATAGTCCCCTGCTTTCATCGAAAGGTGGGGGACAATCAAGACCAAATCAATCTTTCTGGGATTCCCACAATACTAAAAGATCTGCCTAAATAGGTGAATCCAACACTGCCTAAATAGGTGAATCCAACTCAGTCACTAAAATTAATTATAATTTATGTTGTCTCAATGGTGGCTTCACCTTAAATTTAAAATTGAAGCAATTCTGGGTTCATATAGACGGGTATGAAATGGTGTTCAGCAATGGTTATGTTGTCATCAAGGTCTTCAGACCCGAAAGATGATATTAGAACATCATAACACCAAATCTCATTAACTCACCCCCCCCCCCTTCCACCCAAGCTATAACATACCTTCTTCTCTTTGGTCTGTCTTCTATAATTCGTATCTTTCTGCCATTTATTTCTGTACCATCCAATTTCTCAATAGCATTACGCATATCTGTTGAGGAAGCAAATTCCACAATTCTGCCATGACCAAAAAGAAAAAAAAATATGAAGCATTATTAGTATTGGTAGAAAAATGTGATACAAGCTTGACAGTTAACAAACAAAATACTGGTGCAATTGTATTCATTGAATTATTTTGAAATTGGCAATATTCTCAAATTTATATCAAGCATTTGACTTTCAACTATGCATATTTTTTTTTTATTTTTTTACCAAGACTATGTTAATGTCCGGAACAAGACATAAGGCGTTTTTACGAGAAAACAAATTGGTTTCGATTACCTATCTCATTTTGTACAAAGACATAGGTTTCGAGTTGGTATTCGAATTGGTTCTCGTAAACGCGATGAGTTACCTCGCAAGATGGCTGAAGCCTGAAGAATTTGAGGAAAAATGTTAAAAAAATTCACTTTTCTTTATGTTCTTGGCGACACCGCCCAAAAATAAAAACGAAAAGTTGTACCAGTTGACTGTCCCCAAATGCCCCGTATTTTTATTAGGAATGTTCATAATATTCATATTTTAACGTGAATTTCAAAAGAAAATGATCTAACGTCGGGCACGTCGTATACCTTGTTGGGGACGCCATCTTGGAAATCGAATCGTCAATCTGGCAGGCGAGCAAGTTGGAACATTTGCATAATCGATTTGGCAAATCGTCGTGGTAAATACGACAATTAGGTGAAACCGATTAGGCTAATTTTTGTCGTAAATGTGTTTGGAAAGGAAATGCAAATCGATTAGCCCTAATTGGTTTCTCGTAAAAACGCCTATAAAATACGAAGTATTGTTTACTTACCCTTCATTTTTATGTTTCTTGTGAGCATCAGCATAAGTTACTTCACCAGCTTGTCTCATATAATCTTTCAGATCCTATAATGTAGATAATACAATGCTGATAAAAAAAACAACCTTTCAAAATATAAGTTCAAGATTAAGAACTTACCACTTGCTGTAAAATAAAATGCTTACTACTAACTGCAAAATGCATTCATTCCTTCGATTGGGCATATATCAGCCTCCCTACACCACAAACATTGAACTTGTCAATTTAATACAAATCATTCGAGACAAATGAAATTATGTTACAAGATTATGTTCAAAATAATTGATAAGTGTATATCATCTTCAAATTTTGTGTCTTGGGAGTGAAAAACCATACCATTCTAAATATGTTTATCGTGTAACTGCAAGAATTAATAAAAGACCGCTTATAAATTTTCCTATAAAATCACTACATATCGAATTACCTCTTACAATGGTTCTTTATTACTCATGATCATCCTCAAGGGAGGGTCAGGGGGGTGGAGCGACCCATTTATTGCCTACATCTTAACATCGAGTACATCATCGCTAGCTTCAACAACCAGCAACATTAACCCATTTTGAGACAGTGGTCTCTATTAGTTGAAAGGCTGGCCAATTCCAGAAATAACCATAACTAGGGCATCATTGAGATAGCATCTACTCTAAAGCCTGTGACATCTCAAATCTATCATCCGATTTCTTTTCTCATGTTAACAGCCAGACTTCAGTAAGATTTTCTAAGCTTGCAAAACTTGTGCCAAAAACAGATCGTCTGACTTCAGAGAACATCTGGTGTTCGAGAATAAACCAAACTACTATGGACATCTAAGTGCCGTCCGTAAAGGAGGAGTCATCAGAGGACCATACACAGTAGGTGGGCTATGTACCTCATCTGTGCATATAATTATCGTCTAAGGACCACAGGTCAACTTGGATTCCCTCAACACCTGTTTCATCTCTCAATATCTTTCAAGAAGACAACAAATATATTACATTTATTTTCTGATAAAATACTATAATACTATTACTACATGAAATTATGATTATAATGAATCTAAAGCAATGGTTAAGGAAGTGAATTTATGCATCATGTACAAATAATTACTTTACAACTAATCTAAACAATAACTTGGCCACACATACCTGCCAGCTCACTCTTGATGATAAATTTTCAACGATAACTCTATTCTCAGTTCTTGTAGGTGGACCATATCTAATAACATAAGATCAATTTATTCCATCAATAAATTTTACTTACAAAACAGCAAGGCTTATGTCTTCCGCCTCAAACTCAAAATCAATTACTTGCACATTACCCGGTAATCTTTTCTTATGTATCAAGCAATCAATTTGCTTAACCCGAGCAAAATATTGTGTTCCAAAAGTGGCAATAGACAAACATTTTAAAAGACCCCTGCTTTCTCTAACAAGGCACAAAAATCAACCACATTTGAACAGAAGAAAGCAATTCGTTGATAGACATTATGATAAAGAGTCTAGACTGTATATACTTTACATGAAATGGTAAAATTTAAGATTTTAAACCAGTTAATATATTGAAGTTTTAAGATTGTTATAAACCTGTTAATCAGAGCATTCTACTCTAGAGCACCTTACTTTTCATTTCTATTTTGTATACGTTCAGCATAACGTGCTCTGTCAGCATATCCTCCCCTTCCACCTCTACCTCTTGAATATCCCCCTCTGCGGTTGTCCCTACTGTAGCTGTCCCGGTGTTGTTGTTCCCCTCTCACACCTCTAGCATGCTCTAGTGTCACCCTGAAATAAAATGACATTAAAGCATAAGGTATGTATCTTACTTGGTCAACCAGGATGGCGTATTATTTCTTCGATAACCACCACCGCCGCCTCCACCACCACCACCTCCACTTCCGTGGTAACTATGGCTATGGCTGCTGCTACTACTTGATCGCCGAGATCCACGAGCAATTTCAAGAAATACCCTGGAAAAAAATATTAGGTACTTGCTTTTACCAGTATGAAATAATCTTACTCATTATTGGTTTACTTCGACCATCATCTTTAATTACATCATCGTCTAGCATCACATCTGACCACTCACTAACATCTCATCTATTTCTAAAAATAGCACAAAAATCTTTCATTTATGGTCATCCGATTCTTACCTTTCTCCACACAACTCCTTTCCGTTCAGTTCATAAACAGCATCATCAGCATCTCTATGATCTTCAAATTCCTGAAAATATATTATATGATGTACCTGGTACAGATTTAGACTAGATACTAGGGTCTGTAAAATAAATGATTAACCGAATTTAGCGCCCCATACAAATCTCTGCCGCAACATTTACTCATTGTAAAATCAAGACACATATTTATGGCATCAAAATTAATTAATAAAAATATTATGCATAGCCTACTAATAGCATTAAAGTTTTTTTTTTTATATTTCTTAGATACAAATCAAAATTAAACTTACCACAAAACCGTATCCATTTTTAAGCATTACATCCCGAATTCTTCCATAAGACCTGAAAAATCTTTCAACATCTTTCTCCCTTGCGTGATATGACAACCTTCCAATATATATTCTGGTTCCCATATTTCTGAAAGATTAAAATGCAGTATATCTATAGATAATTATATTAACTGGTATTGACAGCAATCAGTGGTAACCGAGGTGGCAAATATTTTAAATACCATTAAATAAAACATTACCATTAAGGCAAAATTCTCTTATGCATTTTCACACTATATTATTAATATTACTTCATTTTCAAAAACTGAGGTTTATGGCCAACTTCGAGTTTTATTTCTTGCTGTTCATAAAGTTTGGGTTAACAATTCCGGAAATTGCACTGAATGTATTTGACCTTTAAACAAACAACCTGTGGCAGAACAAATGATGACCTAGCAATAACCATATAGAAATGATAATACTGGTGCCCTTTCATGGATGGGGAGGTTGTGGGGATTAGGCAGCGGTTAATGAACTTTCTTGTGACCTGTGTTTGTGAAATATACAGGAGGTAATTGTTAATTATTGAGATGGAATATTTTTTTGAGTTTAATGCCATTTCTATTTCAGCAATATAATGCATCTGTGATTTATTCACATTTAATAAATTTTTATAGTTTAAAATATTTGTTGAACAATAGCCAGGCATCTTGAGACTTGATCATAATAAAAGGTCTAAATTATTAGTGATATGCTTTTAAGTTAACATTCATTCATGCCATTTCTTTACTTCATTTTTCCCTACTTTGACAGGTCATCAAATGAACTGTTCCAATCAGGTTGATAAATTGTTCTGACATACATGTAAATATTGAACACTAAACCTTTGGATTTTTAAATGCAAAATTTAAATGCAAAATAAGTTAGATTACTTAACATGTCACTAATGTCCGCAATTTCATAGGAATTTACTACACACGTGTTCGCTTCCCTTGTAATTGTCTTCAACTTTGACCCCATCGGAACATGGTATTATAAATATAAATACTGTTATTTTGTCTATATTCATCAAACAATTTAAAGATACATTATGGGAGATTAGATAAGAGCTGGCAGTTCCTACTAGATAATGTAAAGGGAATTTGCTGAAAATTTAAGTCAAATTGGTCCAATCTTAACCGAGAATTTTGGGCCTAGCCTCGATCCCGACATGAACCTTTGGGATGAACTTGGACGGGTTCGAACTCGAGCCATGCCACCATGAACTGTTGCAGAGTTGGCACAGGCACTCGAAAATCATTGGCAAACAATCCCACAGCGTGTAGCGAGACATCTGTGCCAGTCCATGCCAAAGCAACTTCAGGCATGTGTAAGAGCTCAGGTTGGACAAACCCGATATTGACTTCAACTGACGCCTGCTTTGTTTCATGGTTCTGATGTTTCAGTTTTGTGCATTTGTAGTGAATTCTTTCATGAAATTATCCACAGATGATTGTTATCTCAATTTTGTCAATTGTTATGTACATTTGTTTTTGCAGTAAATAAACTTTGAATTTGGCATCGAGTGTAGAACTTAGTGATCCAAAAACACAATCAGAATTAATATGAAATGATCCGCCATTGTGAAAGTCACGTCTGAGCGCAGCCAATATTCCAAATTTAAGAATGCAATGTTACCGTAAACGAAAATTCTTGCTGTACTGTCAATGGCGATACCACTAAAATTGACGTATTCAACATACATAAACTTGATTAATATGTAATTAAGTACAGCCAGAATTTTCAATAACGGTAAAATTCCATTTATAAATTTGGAATATTGGCTGAGCGCAGATATGAACCAGTCTGCGCAGGCATCAATTTGATAATGGCCGACCGATTCAAATGAATGTTGTTTATGTTTTTGTGGCGCACAATTCTACATGAAAATAGTGTTGGATTATTATTTGTGTCAGATGTGGCAAGAAATAATTCCATTTGGATATCCAAGAAGAATCACTTGCAAAAATAGACGGTAGGCCTAAGCCCCGGTAAGGCCTCTAAGGATCCCAAAATAACCTAAGGAAAAAGACTTATTTTCATATTAGTTGTCATTAAGGATGCCCCAGTAACGAAGAGAATGCACTAGGGGTCTCTAAGACTTCCTTACTAAAGTAACTAGGGCATTGGGTAGTTTCCATCCGATTAAACTGTTTCAACAGAGGGATTTGAATTGAAGTTGAAACAAACTTTTGATAGAAAAATTTGTATGAATATACTCAAATAGTCTTATTCATCAAAGAATTACAAACAAATCCGATAAGGTAAACCTGTGAACAGGCCATAAATTACACAGAAATAATAGCAAGCAACAAACAAATCAAGTGAATGGATCCGGGGGCCAGCCGTAAGTAAGCGTCCACTCCACAGCGCTGCGATATCACGATAGAAATCCTAACCGACAACTGCGTCTGACACCCAAGAAAAAAAATTGCCATCGTTAGCCAATCTCTGACCCCTACATACCCCAACGCTATGGCGATAGTATAAGTAATTATTGTAATCAAAAAAGAATCGCCACTGACGTCAGTCTAGGAATCTAGTTCTTAATCTTTGTGTACGCCAATACTGCAATAGTAATACACCTACATTATTATTAACCTCTTTCGTTTACCTCGTGCAAATCTGAAATGGCACGCGCACTTCTCGCTACGGGGTTTACACACTGGATTTCAAAACAAATTTTGTTTTTTTGTTTTTACAATTTATACGAGATAAGCAAATAAAGAAATAATGAAAACCGTGTTTTATATGTAATAATAAAAATTTCTTAGAAAAGTATTACGAATTAATAAAGTTCGTTAATTTCCGTAAAACCGAAAGTAGAACTTAGCCTCCAATAACACAATTAAAATAAATATGATGTGTCATTATTCCTGATTGATGTGACAAAGTTAAATAGTTTTCAGACAATATATTGAACCAGCGGACCTGTCATTTCTATGATATTGATAAAGACCGGCTATTTTTCAAAATACGTTTATAACCAATTTGGTTTTGAGATGTAAACGAATAATGGCGGGAGACCCCCTGCATCGTGAGAGGAAAGTCATGACTCCGGTTTTATTTGCGGCTGCCAGCCATAGCCCGCGATTGCTTAGTATTCGCCATCTTGTTAATTCTTGTAACGAGGACTTTGGTCGGGATGCGTTGAATATTTGTTTGGGGAAAATATCTCAAAAGGTATATTTTTATGCTCAGTTACCCCTCCCAGTCCCTCCATGGAATTTATTTCGTCTGCTGTCGCAGCATTTCGATGTCATATTTCTTGAGGAAAACTTTCAACAACCTTTAAAACGCAACCGAAACTATGCATGCAAATTGTTCGATGAGAAGGCAGGCGAGTCAGTCTAGGCACAGTATTCATAGGGCCTGTTTTATAGACAGTGTGTGTTTGCCATTTTATCCGTGATCAGAAATTATTGTAAATCGCATTGTTTACATTTTTAATGTATTAATTGACGTCGGCAACTAAAAACACGTGGTTTAGGATCAGCACACAGTATTGTCTCGTGAATCTGAAATTGCACGAAATTATGCCAGGTCTAGTTATTAATAAAGTACAATGCAAGTTGTTGTCCAGAAAAGATAATAAAACCCAAAAACATAAAAATCCAATTCTTGCTTAAAAAATTATATAGATTGTCATTGATAATTGATGCCAATTATTGAATTAATTGAGCAACCATTGTGGATCATTGTCGAATCAAATCTTGGTCCTCACAACTCTTAAGGAAGGGTTTGGCATAGACCTTTAAAGGAAAAGAAACAACTGTAACAATAATTAAGTTTATACTAACAACCCAACATATAGTAGTAAAGTTTTCTGTTAGGCTATTATTCAAGTGGAATGACCAAGCTCATAGCTTGTTGTTAGGCACGGTAGTTGACTAGTTGCTTCCAAATGAAAAAGCCCGGTGAACACTACGCGACAACTTTTTAAGCGACAAGTTTGGCGACAAATGTCTGGGCAATTGAGGGGGAGTGAGCACACTATACAACGACTTTGCCGATCACACAAAATTAAAACTGTCACATGTTAAATTTCATCATATGACACCTCAAAATGCATTTTCGTGGTCAGCATATCGAATACTTCAATAAATATCGTTTTTTGTGCATGAGGCGGCGGCGTAGTTGTCTTAGTACCTGTATGAATTAATGAACCCAATTCTTGTATGTATTCATAAACTACATGAGGATAACCCCAGAAATGTTCCAGAATGTCGTAAATATAATTAGGCCTCTCATTACCAAACAAAACAGCCAAAATGGTAGAATCAAGAAGGCCACGAGAGCGATTGGCTGTCACTTTTTGTTTTCTGTCTACAGGCATGGAAAAAACAATGCTACTTCTCATAACCATCTAAAAATCCTAACTATATTATTATTGCATATATTGCTATACAATCTGAACAACAGACACGACATGTACCTGCAGAGAAGAGAAAAAAACCCAGCTAGCTACATGTATCATATAGTTTTCGAGCATTTGTAACGTATGATTGTTATATAGAAAGAACAGTCCACTAGGCCTACCATATGTATCGGACATGTTTCTTTTTTTATGGTAGTCTAACAAAATGAAGTTTACAGTTCCCACGTTTAGTTAAATTTCAATAAGTCAGCTAGGCCTAATTTACAGTACCTGAGCCATTTATATGCAAATTGCAACAGACAAAATATCTGAGAAACCTGTTATGTTTAATGTCACTTGAGGAAAATAACCAAATATGATTGGTTTAATAGGAGATTTGATTTCTTTGGTTGTTACCGAGGTGAGCTCATTATACGATTTGTTGTCGATGAAGTGACGACTTGAGCAATCATATCAAACATGTCAGATATCTGTAACAATATACAGATATCTGACATGTTTGATATGATTGCTCAAGTCGTCACTTCATCACAATATATGCATTGGCCGAGAAAGTTCATCCAGATTTTCCGGTGTGGTTCCCCCTTGTCAGTGATGCAGGACGGAGGGCCTGACAAGGACAGCTGTCTAGTCATTCGGATGAGACGAAAAACCGAGGTCCCGTGTACACATTGGCGTGCACGTAAAAGATCCCTTGACAGTTGGAATTCGATATAAGAGTAGGCCGTAGTGCCGCTGTCCGGGCAAAATTTCCCTCATAGCACACTGTATGGCGTATGCCCGTCTTCATTAGCCCAGTTCGGAGCAAAACAGTAGGACGTTAAACCCCATTTCATTTCATTTCATTTGTAACAATATATCACTAGCGACTGAGTGCACACACTAGGCGATTTTTAGATTTTTCATCGTCGGCGACAGAAATTGGCTATGTCGTCGCATAATGTGCCCAGGCTTAAATGTTTTGCAAAAATACACATTGGAAACAAAATTGTATAATTTTGACCATATGTGTTTTGTTTGTATTTTCGATAATCATATTAGCCAATTAGTGAATGTTTGAGTTTGAATGGAGTAAAATTCTTATAAACAGGCTTTTATTTTTTCTCTTTTTTTTCATCCTTCGTATGACGTTAAACTCCATTTCATTTATTCATTTTCTATTTTATAGAATCATGTAAAATGTCGACGGTCACCAACCTGGAACACAACTATGGGCAGCAGTTAGCAGAACCAGCTCATATACAGAGATTAGAGCATGCCCTCTATCTTGAACCGTTATTGGGTTACGTTGAAAAAATTATAACTGAACCTATAGCTGAAAGGTATGAATGATGTCAAGTGTATAAAAAAAATTCTAAAACAAAGTTTAAGTGTTTTGAAATTAATGCAAGCAGAGAGATAAAGAAGTGGGGTTAACGTCCACTCGACACAAACCAGGTCATTTCTGGAGGAACACATGGTTCAATTTTATTTCAATAATTCGCTTACGCATTTGGGTCTTTAGCAGTGAGTTGAAACCAGAGGACCCAGAGAAAACCCACAAGGGTGGACGGGCGACCCTACTCCTTGTCTCGTACAACCAGGGAATCAAAACCACACCCGATGACTCAATGACAGACCTTATGATACAGTGGGCATGTGCTAACCATTCGTTCATCCAACCCCCCTTAATGCAAACAATAGAGGTTCAATAAGAATGCTTATGAAGAAAAATGTTATGCCTAAATTATGAATTATTATTTTTTTAGTAATCTTTTATTGTGAGCTTCATGTACAGTGCTAAATGTGTCAATGGCCAAGATTCTTTAAAAAGAGGGAAAGAAAATGCCTATATTTGATTTTATAAGAGAGTGACTTTTACATTAAATGAAAGTTCCAGCCATTACAGACTCTTTAAATTTGATTGCTTATCCAATATTATCATAATGCAGAGCTTGAAATGCAATTGATTTTGATTTTAATTAACATATAAAGATAAGGGTGTAATGTCACAGGGTAACAGTAATCACAGTTGAGTTTATATACTAAACTATATTCGTGTGCTATAATAGCTGCTCTTCTAAAACAGGGGGGTTGGATGGCCGAATGGTTAGCACGTGAGAGCTGTATCATAATGCCTGTCATTGAGTCAACTGGCGTGGTTTCGAATCCCGGATTGTACGTGTCGAACCTCGTGGGATTTCTCCGGGTCCTCCGGTTTCCTTCCACTGCTAAAGACCCCTACATGCAAGCGAATTATTGAAATAAAATTAAACCATATGTTAATCCCGAAAAAACCTAGTTTGTGTCGAGTGGACGTTAAACCCCATTTCTCTTTTAAAACAAGAAAGTTGTTACATTGAAGAGTGTTATAGCCCATCACTGTTTACACTTACACTGAAGATAACAGCTAGCTGCCATCAAAGTCACAGCTTGGTTGTTATTTTGAAACTATTTCTATACTAGACAATGAATAGAATATAAAAAAAATCTGCAATAGTTTGTGACTTCTCCTTTCAGTTTTGATAAATGATGTTTTAAATGTATTAATTTCTTATAGTGATTTTACGGATACAGAAACAGAAGACTATCTAAAACCTTGTGTAAAAGATGACGAGGAAAATAAAATACTTAATGGTATTACGATTACCAAAGCTGGTAAGTTTAACTTGGAACATGGTGTCTCATACTTTATAAGGTTATCATAAAGGGGTTTTCCCAGATTTCACAGTGGGTTAACTATGTAAACAAAACACCAAAATGTAATAATTTAGAAAAAAAACAATATTGAGCCATTCAGAAGTGATCACCAAATTTGCACAACTGGGATAAATGACTCATTTAAGAAATTTAATTCATCAGTTGTATGACTTACTCTCTTCAACCTTATTTTATTTTATGCCCACATTTTCATGTTTTCTAATTATGCCGTCGCCCCTGTCCGTCTGTCTATCTGGACGTCCGTCCACAGTTTGTTTGTGGACACTCTACAGGTCACAATTTTTATCTGATTGTGATGAAACTTGAAATGTATGATTATAATCAAGAGATCTTGGTTCCTTTTGAAATTTCTCATATCGGACTGTAACTTCCTGGATTATGGTCTCTGATTGTCACAATTTTTACCGATTGTGATGAAACTTAAAATATATCTTTATATCCCTTGAAATATCTTAGTCGCATTTGATATTCATGCACTTTAGACCATAACTTCCTGGATTATAGCCCCTGATTGTACGAAAAATGTGGGCATATCTTGCCTGGCATCCGCTGGTTATCTGAAAGTATAATATTTCTAATGACCCAGAAAAATAAAATTACAGATACAAATTGAAGAATTAGTGACAATAAATTAATAAACTAAAATATCAAAGCATATTTTAATTGTGGTAGCATCTCACATAGTAACTATATGCTCATACTCAGGACATTTATTCACTTGTCTTACAAAAAGAGGGACTAATCATTCATAATGACCCCTACGTTTGGTATTATATAATATTTGCTTGAGCTAAAATCTCTCAAGATATGGTTTTAGGAACAAATACATGTATATGTATCTGAATAGTTTGTATTTTGAGCCCAATGGTTATGTAATTGGGCCCTCGGAAGAAGTAATTTCTATACAATATATTGACTCCAAAAGTCTGTTAACTTTGACTTCTTTCATGCTGGTAATCATAGTTTAAATCGGGCTAATATAATTAAACACAGGATACATATTTTGAATACTGTGTTACAGAGAGAAAAGCTGATAAAACCAGATTATTCAATTTTGGTAAGGTCAAGAAAAGTAGAAGATGGCTCAAGGTGAGAAATTGCATTAAAATGGAGTTATTTCCCTTTACTCTAATTTCCCTCGTCTGCCAATATGGAATGAATTGGGAAGGTGGCAGAGATGAAAGAAGACATGCCATCGAGTAAAGGATAGGATATATTAAATTTCTTTGCTCCACAAAGTACAATAATAATTGGTTTTATTGCAAGACAAAATACCCAATGTATCTGTAACAGGGACACTGATTTTACTTATGGTGAATGGTGTTGAACCACAGTAATTGTAGTTCAGTTTAGATATTTGTATATAGATTAATAAAAGATACATTTGTTTATCTTCTAGAACATACTATTGAGTGATAGTTCATCTGATGAAGATGAAGAGCGGCCAATCACTAATGAAGATTTACAGATGATGATTAAAGTCCATAAATATGAGAAAAAACATCAACTTCATTTTTATCAGGACCCAGAGGTTAGTTTATATTTTATCCCAGCTATTGCTATTATTAAATTTGATGTGTAGTTCAAATACTCTGCTATCCGAATTACTCATACTTAATTTAAAGTATTGAATATTCACTTGCAATATACGGTATTACATTTCAAAACAAACAATTATACTCCCGTACAGTTGGAATTACACAATAGGAAAATAGCTCAGACTCTTGTGCAGTGATAGAACCATCTTAGAATTAGGTCAGCCACTAATGGCAGTAGGCCTACCGGTAATAATATCTGAATTATGTAAGAATTTTATCCAATTCTTTAGCATTATATAATAGTTGCAATACATCCTAAATTTTTATTTGATAGGTTTAAAGCTTATTTGTTTTAATTCTGTCTCATTGTTTATCTGTTGCAGCTACATCAGTATCAGTATTACAGTACTGGTTTGCTTTCTAATCATGATAAATATCCTGAACATAGTAAAGCATTTGGTGGGCCAAAGAAGAAAATTTCTAAAGAACAGAAAAAACTAGAACGTAAAGTGAAGGGTTAGTATCTTATTTTCCAATTGCGACATTAAAACACATTTCTTCCTTTTTGTAAATACAACTCAAGTGAATTGAACAGAACTGTTAATTACACTAGTTGTCCTAATAATATTTTACTACTTAGTTCATATACCAGTACCAGTCTTTATACACAGATGGAAAAATTGGATTTTCTGGGCTGACGAAGAAGGGCATGTGCCATGCAGCATTCTATGAGGGAATTTTTGCTTAGACAGGTGTTTCTGGTTTCTGCCAACTCCATCTGTCAAGTGTTCTTTTCTGTGCATGGCAATGTTTACACAGCACTTCAGTTTTCTGTCCCAATATTACTTGTCAGACTTTTGTCCTGCACCACTGACAAGAGGAAACCATGCTAAAAAATTGAAAAGAACTTTCTCAGCCCACACCTGTCTGTATTGGCCTCTTGATCTTCTGTGCCTGTTTATGAGCCAGCACCTTTTTCGCAGAGCTACTGTGACTCCTTACAATCTGATGTGTTAAATCACTCACAGTCACCCAGAACCCCCAAATATTATTATGTATGCTGCTCTTAATGGGCTTATTGATGCAATAAAATCTTAACTTTATCGCTTTGATTTTTTTGTTTTTTTACAGCAAAATTAAAAAAACTGAAAAGAGAGAAGAAAATTGAAAATGGTGATCAAGAGGTATTTGGATCTGTTAACTATTTATATTAATAAACTTTTCCATAGTCATGAATATTTCTCTTTAGATATAAATTGGCATAGCTGGTACTAGATTTAATAATACTTTGTCTATAATTATTTACATTGAGATTAGAAAAATAGAAAATATTTATAAGTTTTTATTATATTCAAGGAATGTGATGAGATTGATCCTGAGGTGTTAAAGGCAATAATAGAGCATCATCAACGTGCTGGTAAATCTGGCAAGTCAAAGAAACTAACGCCAGAACAAGCAGATGTTAAACGTAAAAAGATCTGGATGTCGATAGTAAAAAAAGAAATACCAAAGGTAAGAAAATAGGCCTATATTTATGTTTGGAACTGATCAAAGTGAAATAATTATGAAATAATTATCAAAGTAAGATTGATTTTTGAAGAATTGCAAAAAAAACCCACCCAATATTTGAATGATTATATATATAAAACACTTGGAATATGTTACTTATCCTAGACCTATTTGGAATATGTTACTTATCCTAGACCTATTTCACATCTGTACATAAGTTTTTCGAGTATGTAAATCTAATGAATATATTATTATTATGCCAACAGAAACAACATAAAACTGTTATGTGAAGAGTGTAAAATGGAGAAGTCTTGGCTGTTGAATAACATGCCAACCAGCAAAGTCAGTATTTGTCTAGTTATTGTACAGTATCACTTTATGATTTCAGGTACAGAAACAAAGGGCTTCAGCCAGAAAAGAAATGTTGAATAATGCTAAAAAAGTAAGTAAGGAATTGAGATATTAATTTTGTTTCGTTAGATCTTAATGTTTACTGTCGAGTGTCAATTTTACAAAAGCAACTGAACAATTCCTTGTAGGTGTTTATGTCTAAATATTAATGACATACGTTTTATTTTTCTCACAATCAATTTTAATGAGTTTTGTTGTGGGGCGAAAAAAATTAACATGAAAAAATACGAACATGCACAAGTTTGAATTGATATTCATTGAATTTATAGTTAGCTACACAATGTATGAAAGACAGTCGTAGGGCTGCTCTTCACTCCCAGAAAACAACAAAAGAAATACCATCCCGTGCTAGAAGATTAACAAGAGAAATGTTAATCTACTGGAAAAGATTTGATAAAGTGGAAAAAGAACATCGAAAACGAGCTGAGAAAGAAGCTCTTGAACAACGAAAACTAGATATGGAATTACGCGAGGTATGTTTAATTATTTATTTCAAGTAATAATTGCTGAAACCCAAGGAATTATACCAGCCTTCTTTCTTACCACTACACATTAAGATAAATATAGATCTAGATATTTGAGTTTCGAAACTTAGATTTGTTATAACTCATTGAATAATATATATTGTAAAATTTGATTATTATCCAGGCTAAAAGACAGCAAAGGAAACTGAACTTTCTCATTACTCAAACTGAACTGTTTGCTCACTTTGTGGCACGTAAAATAACTGGTGAATCTGAAGCAGCTAAAGAGAAGATATTACATAGATTAGATGAAGAGAGTTGTATAGAGAAATCAGAAAAACGTGTTAGTGGTGGAATGTTGTATGATATAGAAGATGATGATTATGGTAATTATCGCTCAGTTTTGAATGGTTTAAATATTTTTTTGCCTTTTAATTTAATTCCAAAATGTTGGTCAGGAGTTTTCAAATTGTGTAACTTGATAAGGCATGTTGAAATTTTACAAAATGTGGGTTTCATTTACACACATTGGTGGTTGAACTAAAAGAAATGACTCTGCACAGAACCATTATTACCATTGCCCTTGTCATATTCTGTCTTTCATAACGCTTGTGGAACTTTAAGTAAAATTAAAGGATTATTATCGAGATAATTGCAGTAATATAATTATGGTATTAAAGTAGGTTTTATTTCTTTTTACAGATAGTGCTGAAATACGTAGATTAGTGTGTAAAAATGCTGAAGGTGCTTACAAAACCCATGAAACAAAAGTAAGCCAGTTATACTATTGCTTTCAAGATTTAATGGGTCAATATGCATCCTGTATACCTATAGAAACAATTTGATTAGTCCAGAAATGTTTGTGATCTAAACGCCAACTTTATACAATATCTATTTAAAAATACAATGAAATGTAATTAGCATCTGATTTAAATCCAATTGATAAGCAGCTTAACTGTTCAAATCTTAATTGATTATTAATGACACAATTATAATGTTTTCAGAGACATGAGTTTGATCGAGCAACAGGATTATTTGCTGGTACGTAATCAAAGAACTTTTTTAAATTCTATAAAATTCATGCATCGTCATGATGATTTATATGTAGGATAAACAAAACAAGTAATATCTTTTCTGTATAAACCAGCCCATTCTTTGTGATGGTCTTTTATATTCAGATGTATAAATTGTATGTATTTACAGGCGCTCGTAACATGGAAAATCTCTTTAAAAAATTACAGGAAGTTGAGGCTACTTAGTATGCGTTAAGTCGATGATCATGTTCATATAAGCAAGATAATCAAATTCAGGGGCCAATAACTTTTCTGGGAGTTAGACAAGATGAACAATTTGTTTTGTTGATGCTTTGGAATGCGATAATTTTAATTCTAACTGAAGGAGATTGATAAAACTTGGTGTATGGTTTCATTACATGTGCACTTTGACTAAATTCGATAATGAACAATTTATGCTCCAGTTAGCAGTGTGATAAACAATTTGATTGCTTGATGCTTTGTAAAAAGATAAATATGCAAGTAGTGCATATGTGGCATCTGATTATTTTGAAATTGGGGCAGGAGAAATTAGATTCACTTGTTGGCTTATGAACTTTTATTCTGGCATGTTGAGATTTTAATTTTTACTTACTGATATTTTTTTGTAGGTTCTAGTTTGGCTAACCCAGCTATAAGTACTGATGCTGAAAAACCCCAACCTTCTATATTTATTGGTAAATTAAAGGGTTACCAATTAAAGGGTATGAATTGGTTGGCTAATCTATATAATCAAGGTATAAATGGTATCCTAGCTGATGAAATGGGATTAGGTAAAACAGTGCAGACAATAGCATTCCTGGCACATTTAGCAGAGGTAATTTCTATAAGTACTATTCTGTATAATTAAATTTTGAATGGAGGATCACCTTTTTGCCTTTGTATGAGTGTCTAGATCTCGAGACATTTTTATTTTTCTCCTTTTCATTTCTAAATTGGGAATATTAATTTTATCTTTTATCGGCATAATACGATTTCTGATATATTTTATTAGGTACATAAATATACAGGAATGGAAAATTTGTATTAAGACAAATTATTATATTTTTACAGGCACAAGGTATCTGGGGCCCTTTTCTAATCATAGCTCCAGCATCTACCTTACACAACTGGCAGCAGGAATGTCAAAGATTTCTACCTAAATTTAAAGTTGTGCCATATTGGGGAAATGCTCAGGATCGAAAAATTCTTCGAAAATTCTGGGACCAGAAGTGTTTGCATACTGCTGAGGCATCTTTTCATGTTGTCATTACCAGTTATCAACTGGTTATTCAGGATGTTAAATATTTCCAAAGAATAAAATGGCAATACATGGTGTTAGATGAAGCTCAGGCTCTTAAAAGTAGTACAAGGTAATAAAATGTACCCTCTTGGTCTTGATACAAACTGCAAGCTTTTTTGATAGAGCACTTACTGCTTAATAAATTCTCAAGCTTTCAATATATTTTTGATTTGTACCTCGATTTTGTCCATTAGTGAAGAGTCAAGTTTCTGTGAATAAATGAATAGTTATTGGCCTATTTGAAAAATAGTTTCTATTTTTGATTTAGTAAATTTTTATTTGATTTACAGTGTACGATGGAAGATATTATTAGGTTTTAACTGTAGAAATCGTCTTTTACTTACTGGTACACCAATACAGAACAGTATGGCAGAGGTAGGTAGATCAAGCTTAATATTATAAAATACAAAAGTCTGAATGTTGCAATCTTTTAAATAAAACCCCAAAATATTATTAAAACTGCTTTATATTACTTCAATAGTTAATACTCCACACGAGATGCGGGACATGCTTACCATTTATGAACACCTAGTATTATTTTTTTTCATGGGATGCACATCTCTTGCTATTCTTTTAGTGAAGTTTGCCAAAATAGTCAATTGGAATTCAGTCATTGTCAATTGTGCTTGATTTTTTCATTAACGTGACTGATCAGATTAGCAACATATGTAATATACTCAAAGTATGGCAGTGTTTGAGTGTGATTATTTTTAATCAAACGAAACATTGCGAGGAGGATGATCAATGTGGTGACTCAAAAAATTACTTATTACTACTTTCTTACAGTTATGGGCCCTCCTTCATTTTATTATGCCAACTATGTTTGATTCTCATGATGAGTTTAATGAATGGTTCTCTAAAGATATAGAAAGTCATATAGAAAAACAGTCTGGTATAGATGAAAGTAAGTCATTTGTTTCTTTGCATAACTTATACCCTGTCAAATTATATATAGCAGAAAATAAAGGACCCTGTTCAATTTTATTTTACAAAATACCAGAAATGTTTACTTTACTGTAGGAATTGGTTCTTATATTTATTGTTTATTTTTTATTATAGATCAGTTGTCGAGACTTCATATGATATTAAAACCCTTCATGTTAAGAAGAGTAAAGAAGGATGTGGAGAATGAACTCTCAGATAAGGTACCTAGAAATATTTTACTGAAGTCGATTTGAGATTTTGTATCTGTTATCTATCTTGAGTTTAGTGATTTTAAGTGACAAGTAGTAGAGTAAGTGGTTACCTTAATACTTGCCTAACTTTTGTGTTTTTATTTTGCCAAAGGATCATGTGGCCAAATGACTTTCCCCAAACATCCCATTTACATAATTAATAATTCTTGTATTGCATTATCTAAAATGTCACTTCATGATAAGCTGAATAAAGTTTATTTTGAAATAAAATTGCATCATGTGGCCCTTTTTATGTGTCTTGGCTGTATCAAAGAAACAAAATATTTACATGACCTAAGAATATATATTGGTTTTTTTTTATAGATAGAGATTCTGGTATATTGTCCGTTAACTAGAAGACAGAAGATGTTATATCAGGGTATTAAGAATAAGATATCTATAGAAGATTTATTACATACAGCTATGGATAATAATACACAAGCTCAATCTACTACTAGTAGTCTTATGAATCTGGTTATGCAGTTTAGAAAGGTAAAACATATTTATACTTAAAGTTTTATCATTCATGTACCAATCAATTTGTATTTTACATTAGAATTTGACAGTTTGTTGCAGTCTGATACTCTAGATTAACTTAAAATTTATGTCGGTGAAAGATACAAAATGGTGTTAATAAACATTTGTACAAATGAAATTCATCTTTGTTGTAGGTGTGTAACCATCCAGATTTATTTGAAAGGCATGAACCCAAATCTCCTTTCTTTATGAAGATGGAACCATATTATGTTCCTAAACATATTTACAGATGTGGTAAGCATTAGTACTGTTTTATTGATTCACATAACCTGGAGAGCTGCTTTTTGATACAATTTACCATATATTACTGGGTATAAGTTTAAATGTATTACGATTTTTAAGACATAAAGTGTGGGTTGACTTTGTCACCAGGGCCCGGTTCCTAGAAAATTCTTAAAGTAAGCATGCTTCACTTTTTCTTACGTAAGAAACTTATAAAAATACCGTCCCTAGAAAATTCTCAAGACCATTCTTACGTAAGCACAAGTCAAGTATAAGTCTAAGCACATTGTGACTGGTAAAGTTTACCATAAACTGACACTGCGATGCTCTTTAACGTCACAAAAACAACTTTGGTATGCGAATTAGGCTACGTCATAAATTTGTCGTCTGCTTCATTGACGTCATATATATACTATTCAAAAAAAGTAGGGGATATTTGATTTTTAAGTGTTATTAAAGTCACCTAATGAAACTGACGAAGAAACAAATGACAAAATGAAATGAAGTTCACATTCATCGATTTATTCCAAATGATCGTTAGACTAAGTAAGGCACATACTGACCATTATAAGGGTAAAATGATACCCGGGGTCAAACAGCAAAGTTACCACAGCATCACAACCAAGTCAGTAACGGGTAAATCCTCCTCTGTTTGCCAAACAAGCATTGATCCGACGTGGCATACTCCTAATGAGACGTCTAAGGTCATTTTGGTCCAGATTGTCCCATTCCTGTTGCAACGCAGCAGCAAGTTCTTGGACATTGGCAGGACGTTGTTGACGTTGACGTAACCTCTGTCCAAGCATGTCCCAGACATGCTCGATGGGGGAGAGGTCGGGACTCAGTGCTGGCCAAGGTAATGTGGTGATGTTCTGTTGTTGGAGGTAACCTGTAACGATCCTGGCCCTGTGACATCTTGCGTTGTCATCCTGGAAGATGAAACGGCGGCCATGACGTCGTGCGAACGGCACAACATGGACTGCCAAGATGTTGTCCCGGTAGTACTGGCCTGTAACACGCCCTGCAACAACATGTAAAGCCGTTCTTCCAGCAACAGTGATGCCTCCCCACACCATAACAGATCCACCCCCAAATCGATCATGTCTGATGACGTTAACGTCTTGGAAGCGCTCGTTTCGACGACGCCACACCCTCCTACGTCTGTCCCAAAAATCAACAGTGAACCTTGACTCATCTGAAAACATCACATTGCTCCAGCGTCGATTATCCCAGTGTTGACGATCCCTACACCAACGACGTCTTGCCTGAATGTGATGATCTCTCAAACAAGGGATCACGCGAGGACGTCGGGCGCGAAGGTGACCCCTATGCAGTCGATTCCGAATCGTCTGGCCACTCACTCTCACACCAGTGTCTGTTTGAAGACGAGCGCTGATCTGATTTGCTGTGATGACACGATTTCTCAAGGCCAAGGTACGGATAAATCGATCCTGGGCTTGAGTTGTCGCCCTTGGTCGACCTGAGCGTGGTCTGTCCTGTACAGATTGTGTATCACGGTATCTGGACCATAGCCTGCTTATGACAGACTGAGAAACATTCATCGTCCGCGCCACAACCGCCTGTGTTGTGCCGATCTGTAGCATGCCAAGGGCATGTAACCTTGGGTAAGCCGACGCATATCAAAATTTGTTTTCTGGTCACTAAAACAATTAAACTGATGTTTCCACCCTGGAATTCAATGCCACAATGACTGTAACATTCAAAGTCAGAGTCGTGCAAATCTTGGGTTGGACCCCCATGATGATCCCAAGCATCACCTGCATTCCATGCGGTAGCTATTGGTGCGTTTGGGCGTCACATGTAACTGGAAATGTTTCTTCTGTTAGGTTCTATAGTGACTTTTTTCGTAGTCATTTGCATATTTTAGTATTATGCCCCCAAAATCAAATATCCCCTACTTTTTTTGAATAGTATATATAATATGGTTGATTTATATGCATTTGACATGTCCCCTATACACATACAAAATGTGACACAAGATAAAAAAACCGCAGTCACATACAAACTAACTGAATAATTGTGAGAGCGCCTGATCTTAAGTAGCCCGTGTGTTTGTAGCCTATTGTTTACTAATTGGCGAAAAAATAAAATGGTTTCAGGGTAGAAGCGAAATTTTCTATAGCATTCTTAATTTCTTCTGGAGAAGGATTTTCTCTGCCTTGTAATTGTCTCATTGGTATCAAAAGTTGTCGGAAATGCCGTCGAATAACTCTACGGTCAGCCATCTTTTTGAAGTGGAAACAGACTTAAGGTTGGTAAGCAAGCCGTATACCTTGCTTGGGACTTGTGCTTAGATTGACTATGTTTAAGAACGAAGTTGTGCTTAAGTTTTTTCTTGGAACGCATAATAACGTTCTTGTGCTTACAATGAAGTCTACTTAAAATCTAAGCACATGAACGTTCTTAAGAATTTTCTGGGAACGCAAAATAAGGTAAGTTTACTTAAATGCAAAGTCTACTTAAATCTAAGCACAAGAACGTGCTTAAGAATTTTCTAGGAATCGAGCCCTGATGGATTTAGGCGATAGTTTAAGAGAAATGTTAATTTTTTTTAAAAATTTTTTTTTTACACCTTCTTCTATATACATGTATAATTTGATGCAGAGTGTAAGGTTAATGCTTGACTTCAGAGTAAAATATTATTGAAAGAAAATTTATTTGTTTTGTGCTAACTGTATCATTTATACATATTTGCTGTAATGACTTGAGCTATTTTAATGTTTTTCAGGTATATTAGAACATGCGTTACCTAGTAAAGCTAAGATAATCTACAATCTGTTGTATATTCATTCACCTCATCATATACACTCTTCTCTCACTTCACAAACAAGTATGTACACTCAAGACATTTTATCAATACCTGTCATGGAATATGCACAATTTTGATTAATTGTAATAATATATTTCAAGTCTATAGCAATATAATGTTTAGTTCTGTGGAGTCTCGATAAACAGTCACTCGAGTCCGTGGTGAACAGTGTTTTGTTTAAAATGTCATAGCTTAAAAATTGAATCTGAATTAAGAACAACACAAATACTATGATTTAAAATCCTAATTTATTTTCAAGTTCAGAGGTCACTGTGGATAAGTGGGAAAGACACTGGCTCGCTAGCCTGGAGGTCAGGTGTTCAATCTCTGCATTGGCCTAGAAAGTTGAAAAAGTTCATCCAGATTTTCCGGCGTGGTTCCCTCTTGTCAGTGATGCAGGACGGAGGGCCTGACAAGGACAGCTGTATAGTCGTTAGGATAGGACGAAAAACCGTCCCGTGTACACATTGGCATGCATGTAAAAGATCCCTTGACAGTTGGAAATTGATATGAGTAGGCTGTGGTGCCGCTGTCAAGGCAAAATTTCCCACATAGTACATTGTATGGCGTATGCCCGTCTTCATTAGCCTAGTTCGGAGCAGAACATTAGGACATTAAACCCCATTTCATTTCATATCGTTTATTTTCAAGTTCATAAATACTGTGATTTAAAATCTTGATTGAGTTGGTTTTGTATGTTTAGATGATTATAGTTTTATTTGTTTTTATTTCAGATGGTCATGTAAATAGTGCTTTCTCTTTTCTACGTTTTATTGATATGTCACCAGCTGAGATGTATTCTTACATGTTTGGTGGACTTTTAGTAAGGTAATATACATCTTCTTTATAATACCCCGTGGAATAACTGGCTGTGACATAAATTCACTTAGATATTGAAATATTATAGCATCCATTCACTTGTCTCGACTTGGGTCTTGTTAAGTCTGTGGCTAGTGTATAAACTATATACTGTGTAGTGTGTGATACTCATCGTAAAATACAATGTTGAGAGGTACAGTCCTTTGATCTTGATCTATTTTCTTAAGACAATGTAAAGCAAGGTCTGACCACATTATTGCCATAAAAAAAGCCTCCTTTGTTTTAGACTTTTGTTATAAATTGTAAAGAAAACTAGCAGAGGATGATAACTTTATGAATCTGATCTATTGTCAAACTGTATAATTTTTGTATTGTAGATGGTTAGGTTTATTTTTATGGTTAAAGATGGCATATCGGATACACCATGATATTGTATGGAGAGAAGATTCTCACAGGTAAGATATAGTTTAATTTATACACTGGGGACCATGCTTGTCGAGATCTTCAGTCTCTGATGGGGAAAACATGGTTAAAGATTTGTTAGCTGCAACTCATTGGTGATTTTAAACCAGGAGAGTGTGTTCTCACCGGCTAACTATTTTGACGTACGTTTGTGGTTAATTTCACATTTGCATGTCACACAGGAGATTGCCATTTTCATCAGGTGGTGATATGTCTTTAGTAGGTGGATATCTTTAACAATTTAATAATCATTCAGATAGCCAAGTTATGACAGCTGTGAGAATAAACATATATTTAGCAGACAGATTTTTCACCCGATCATTGCATTGTGATAAGAGTTAATTCAGCAAACCTGATCATTAAAGTAGCAATATTGATATTAATTTATTAAAACAAACAAGGTTCAGTTTCTGCATGTCCAGAGTTAACATATACTACCGGTATATTACAACTTCATTCCTAAATTAGTTGGCTACCAAAATATACTACCGGTATATTATGGTCATTCCTAAATTAGTTGGCTACCAAAATCAGCGATAAACAATGGATATAATTAGATAATATTGCAAGCAACAGAGCTTTAACTGTTAGAAATTCTCTGCAACATATTCAATGATTAGTACAATTAAAGGCTGTTAAATGAGAAATCATTCTGACTTACTGTCACTTTAATATTTTATTTTTCTATTTTTTTTAGCCCTAGCTCCAACAAGTGCTTTCTAATGAATCCTATTCAAGTCACCTATTTTCCTAATGTAGCAGAGAGTCGGAATTTAAAAAAAATGGTGTTCATAAATCCTTGTTCCTCATTCCGAGCACATGATGAGCATATCTTACATTATATACCAGAAACAATAGCACATCGACAAGTCAGATTAAAAAACAAACGAGATCATATGGCAGCTACACGGCAATTGATGAGTCCACCAAAATCTCCTACTAAAGTAAGTTAACATTATAATTAATATAGAGGCCATTACGGCCATTGTAACCATGTGGTTAGCATGTTAGACTTGACAGGGTTAACACCAATGGAAAGTGTGACTAGTTGTTCGGACAATAACAGGTCCCTTTTAAAAATTGGTAGTTGAAATTATAGGCAGAGTTGATTAAGACACCAATCAAAATTATATCAGTATATTTCTAATGACGTGGAGAAGTAAAAAATGTTGACTCGCTTCCAATCTGATTAAAACACAGATCCTATTTTGTTTTATTTTTTTATAGTTCAAAATTTCAGTCTACTTGTCTTTACTACATTAGGATCTGGAAGAGTTGTTACATAACCAGCGTTCTGCATTTATGTGAGGGATTAGCCAATGAAACGGTCTGTTACGGCAAGTTTTTGGTGTGAGTTGCACGGAACTGTGGTAACCCACTAGAAACATCAGCGCTGATTGGTTAATTAATTGTCTACCTTCATAGGGTCAAAAGCCACTTGTGTGACCTGACACGACCTCCCTCTACAACTGGTCAGATCTTCATGTAGTAGAGGCCATCAAAAGTATAAAAAAAAACCAAAGTAAATATAGATCTGTATTCTAATCAGATTGACTCACATCTTTCTGAGCTTCACTTGAAGTATCTTTTGAAATATGTTTTTACATCAGATTTATTTTCCAAATGATGGTTTTGTATTTAGAAATATATCTTTAAATCAAATTAACGTTTTTTTGCAGAGTCTTTCACATTCACCTAAGAAAGTTGGACACCCTATAACTCCTATGGAAGAAATCTCTCTACCTATACATCATCATAGGTTACGACCAGAACGATATTTTACACTACAACCTACAGATTATCCACCTTTTCTATATAACTGTATACCTAAGGTAAATATCAATTTGATATTATCACTGTACGTTTTTAGTATGTTCCTACATTATTAATTGTGACCTTATTGAGAGACAAAATAGAGGTATTACTCAAGACTCTAAATTAATATGTATATTTAGCAATCAGCATGATTAAAAACAGATTGATAATGACATTTTATTCTGGCTTGCATAGGCTTACTGTCTCTGTAATTAAACATATGTACCAGTAAATGATTTATAAACAAATTATTTGTATTTTTTGGTAATTCTTCTGAGTTATAGTATTTTATACTTTTGATTAAAAAAAATACTGTTACTCATTTTGACTTGATTCTGTATAAAATTTAACAATTGAAATTATTTTGACTACTCTCATTACTAAAGGTTCAAGCTGCTTCTAGTTCATGGTGGTGTGAAGATAGAAGTGCAGCATGGCAGATAATGAAAGCTAATCTATGTGGTACATTAGATGGTAGAAATAGTTTATGGTATGGTACACCAGAAATAAGAGAAGAAGTTAAATGGTCTAACTACTATTTTACCAGTCCTACTCTAGGTGGTATACATAGTGTTAAACCTAAACATGGTTGGTCAGGCATCTTTATACCAGGTACAAATATATATTATAAACTACAATCTTTAAAATATTTCCAGCAATTGTGAAATCTGGGGACCGAAATTCTCTCTGGAACTGATTTGTCTTTTATTGATACCGTTATTACACATCGGACACAAAGATGAAAACACCAGTTTCTAGTTGATCAGTGCTTGTCATTTTCTCAGACACAATTAAAATCATTATTTCTAAGCCTAATTTCCAGAGGTATTTGAAGTATTCACAAACATAGGACAAGTAATTAATTTTTTCTTTCCTGTAAGCATAACCAGACATTGAGTATGGATGAAAATATTTAAAGTTCATCTATAATTATGTTCTGGAAGATTAAAACCAGCTTTATAGATTCAGTGATCTTTATTTTTTTATAAAGGTTACTCGCTTAAAAAGCTACAATAATACGCAACATGCAAGTTCTGAGTAATGATTGGTGTTATTAATGTTTTTTATTGTGTTATTAGTGATGTTATTACTTTGGGTAATAATGTTTTGTTCAACCCGTTTGCACTTGGTAAATGTAAATAATCAGTAAAAAAAATAAGAGAAAAGATGTGTTTTTTATATTGAGTTTTTGTCACTCATTTTTGGAACCACCCAAAACTAGACCGCTTAAACTGCTGGAGTAAATAGCACTAGAGGGGGTCACGCTGGCTAAGTAGGTAAGACAAGGCTCGCTATCCTGGAGGTCGGGTGTTCGATCCCTGCATTGGCCGAGAAAGTTCATCCAGATTTTTCATTGTGGTTCCCCCTTGTCAGCATTGCAGGACGGAGGTCCCGTGTACACATTGGTGTGCACCTAAAAGATCCCTTGACTGTTGGAATTCGATATAAGCGTAGTGCCGCTGTCCAGGCAAAATTTACCTCATAGCACACTGTATGGCCTATGCCCAGATTGGAGCAGAACAGTAGGACATTAAACCGATTTCATTTCATTTAATAGAACTGGAACTAGTTTACATATATTCAGTTGACTTAGGTGGTTAGAAGTAGCAGTAGATTCAGCTGCTCTAAGAGCTTATGGCTTAAAGTTAAAACTGTTTTTTTTTTTCAGATAAAGAAAGTTTGGTAACAGATGCTGGTAAACTGTTTGTATTAGATTCTCTGCTACAGAAGTTAAAGCGCGAAGGTCATAGAGTTTTAATTTATTCACAGATGACAAGAATGATTGACTTATTAGAGGTAAGAGACAATATCATTGTTCTGCTTGTGATGAATCTTATGTCATTTTGACATCAAATTTGATAGCCCTGAAAGTTACAATAGAGCTATGTAGTAAAATCTTTAATTTACTTGTAAGTTTTACTTGCCTTTCTGAAATGGAACCCAAATCTGCATCTATTTAGAAATTCTTTTTAATGAATGTAATATATATTGTAGGAGTACATGTGGCACAGAAAACATACATATATGAGATTAGATGGATCATCAAAGATATCTGAACGTAGAGATATGGTAGCAGACTTCCAAACTAAAGCTGACATATTTGCTTTCTTGTTGAGTACAAGAGCTGGTGGATTAGGTATTAATCTTACAGCTGCTGATACTGTAAGTATTCCTCTTTAATTTCAACAGACAAAACAAATGCATCATACAGTTTCAGTTATTTAAAATCTAGACAAAAAAAATGCACTATACAGTTTAAATTTCTAGACAAAAAAAAATGCACTATACAATTTGAATTAATCAAATTCTAGACAAATGCACTAAACAGTTTGAATTAAATTCTAGACAAATAAAATGGGTCACACCGTTTGAATTATTCTAGACAAAGCGAATGTTCTATACAGTTTAAAGTATTTAATTTTTAGACAAAACAAATGGGTCATACAGTTCAAATTATTTAAATTGTAGGCGAAACAAATGGGTCATACAGTTCAAATTATTTAAATTGTAGGCGAAACAAATGGGTCATACAGTTTAAATTTTTCTAGACAAAGCAAATGGGCTGTACAGTTTAAAGTATTTAATTTTTATACAAAAAAAATGGGATATACAGTTTAAAGTATTCTAGACAAAGTAAATGGGCCATACAGTTTAAAGTATATAATTTTTAGACAAAACAAATACACCATACTGTTTAAATTATGTAAATTCTAGACAAAGCAAATGGGCCATACATTTTTCTCGAGAGATAAGGGATACAAAGTATTATTTATATTGTATGATGATTAGGTTAGATGATCTCTTTAAATCTGGATGTAACTGGATGTAAATTAAAAATTGTGAAACAAAACCATCCAGACAAACGTAAAAGCTGTTCTACTTGATAGAGATAATTAAAATTGTTCAGTAAACAGAAGGCAATAAAGTAGCATTATTATTACTACAGTAACTATTACTTTATTAATAATCTGTATTTGATTTGGTTTTCTAATGATCAATGTTTTATATTTATTGTAGGTAATATTTTATGATAGTGATTGGAATCCTACAGTAGATCAACAAGCTATGGATAGAGCACATCGTTTAGGTCAAACTAAGCAAGTAACAGTATATAGACTCATCTGTAAAGGTACTATAGAAGAGAGAATTGTACAAAGAGCCAAAGAAAAAAGTGAGATTCAGCGAATGGTTATATCTGGGGGTAATTTTAAACCAGATACTCTTAAACCCAAAGAAGTAGTTTCACTTCTTATAGATGATGACGAAATGGAGCATAAATGTAAGTAGTACTATTTGTTATTGTTAGTTGAGGGTTGTCATACATGTGATTCCTATAGATGGAACTGCTTATCTTTTATTTTATAGGTCAACATTCAAAAATATTCCAGCCAAAAAGGGAAATAACCCTTGTTAAAATTGTATATGATTCAGAATTTCCTTATGGGAACAAAAATGTACACATTAACAAGGTTTGACTGCAATTTCCTTAAGGAGTGCTTTTAATGTTTGTAGTGAAAGTTCGTCAAACAGAGAAGAAAATCAAGAGAACATACAAAGATGATCGTAAAAGAAAACGGGAATATAAGGTAATTCTTTAAAATTTAGATAAATGTCATTCAAGATCAATGTCTAAACGGTTCTTCAGCTCATATACACCGTATATCATTGACATTATGCAACATGCAATTAATGTGAGTTTTGTATTTTGATATTAAGATTGGATGAAATCATTTAGATTTATATTATTACCAATAATACATCATATTAAATGGTTTCTGTTTATATTTCAGAAAAGAGAAGGGAAAAAATCAAAATTAGAAGAGAATAATGTAACTGTACCAGCTATTGATAATGAATCTGTAGCTAGTGTAGATTCTATTTCTATACCAGCTAGTCCTCAAAGTGTGGTTAGTATACTTATAAATAATATATCGGTTGAGCTATCCAATCAACAAGTAAATACAGATAGACAACTCATAGTTTGTGTAATAGTATGATGGTTTTACCAATGATTTAGGGTAGTTAGAGGGAGTTTAATACTCAGTCTGTGCTTGCATATCTGGGCTTTAAAACATTAGTGATACGCTCGTACCTTTGTCTTATTCCTAAAATAAGATGCATTGCTTAATAGCTAAAAAATACTTCTGTTCTGTGAAGCTGTTACACAAAACAATGTTATTTGTATTAATGGTAATGTTATATATTCTAGATGTCTGTAGGAAGTGAATTAACACCATCAGTTATATCTACAGCTATATTAGATGATAGTAGTAATGATGGTGGTCTTGTTATAGTGGATGATGCTCATTCTTCTTATTCACCAGGTAACTTTTATACACACCATTTGTATCTGTTAAAAGGATCTAGAAATAAGCATCTCTATGACTTGCATCAGATGAAAATTTATACTGAAATTTTGCTCCTCATCAAAATCCTCCTCTTACATTGTTTGCAAACCTGAAAATGACCGAGCTATTGTGATGTTTAGCCGTACCCTATTTCTTGTTTTTATAATGTTTGTAATAGAATGAATTTCATACAATATGGAACACAAAAAGTAAAATTAAGTGTTTGTTGGATTCATATTGTTTAAACTAAAAAAAAACCTAAAATTTAATGTACTGTTCTAACTTTTGAATGTTATTTTCCCAGTTTAATTTATTGGGGGGTTATTATTTGTGAACGGAATCACAGAATGTTTATTAGTATTTCAAATAATGTATTTCTGCAGTTATTTTAAATAATGTTCCTGATTTATTTCAGTTTCCACGCCAACACCGATACCAAAGAAAGGACGAGGTAGAGGACGACCAAAGGGTTCTGGTGTTGGGAGGAAACCTCGAGGCCGTGGGGGAAAGAAAGCTATGACTGCAGCAGAGATAGCAGGAGCTCAAGCTGGTTTAACAGCAGCCTATGCAGCTTATGGTTATAACTTTACTGGGACAGGTAAGTTTACTGAAGAAAAGATAGCCATTTGCAAAATTGCTAGCCCGATAAGCACCAAAACTTTAGATTGGTGTATTCATCTCTTGTCAAACCATAGATAAAACAGTATAGAATATTACTCCACAGCAAAAATTAGTTCACATTTGCAAAATTCTTTATTATTATGTTAGACTGTCTATAAAATTATGAAATAAAAGTAACTGTGAGTGTTTGTCATGTTCACTGTATTTCTTGTTTGCCTTATTTTGTGTTTCAATGTCGATTTTCCTTTTTCGGTGGTAAATTATTACGTGGGAAACACTTTATATTTGTTGTATATACAACATAGATATTTAACTATTGATTTATTTATTTATTTAAGTATTCATTTGGTTATGCTTATTATTTAATTCTATTTCAGGTACGAGTAATTCACCTAGAGCTTCAGGTTCTTTACCACCATCTGGACGTACTACACCTACAGTCTAATTTGTCCAGTCTTTTCTTGCCACCACTGCTATTAATATTATTTATAAAATGTTCAAATTTATTAATATTTTTAAACAGTTTTGTATTGAAATATTCTCATTATCCATTATATTGTTACAAGTACATTATCAGTTATATAACAATAATTACAAAGTCATACAATTTATGTCATTTGCTTTTTTTTCAGACAGTTTCTTATTATTCAGTTATTTGACACTAAAATATACTCAAATTGATTATTTCACATTTCATTATGAAAACAAAATATCAGTTATGAATAATCTCCCAGCTTGGATTAAAAAAAGGTTCCTCAAAACATTTTACCAAACACTTAAGTTGACAGTGGCTTGTTTATATTGTATTCAGAGGATGTCAGATGTGAAATTTTCATTGCATCATATACATGTATTTGTAAATACTGAATGGAATTGAACCAGGATATTCCTTTAGTTCGCAAGGGATTTAAATCCTTCAATTAACGATCAGTGGCTTTAAGCACTTTGAATAGTACTTTTAGCTAAGAGAGTGCTATGCCATCAGCTGTATTATACACATATATTCTACCGTACTTAAAAATTGATGCTGGTTTTCAATTAATTTGTTATGCTACTTGTGTAAAAATGGTTGGTTTTCATATGCAATATGGTAATTTGATGTAAAATGCTGATAATATGATTCAGGGAGTATTATGCTATGCAGCATGTTTTCTTTAGTCTTGAACTTTAATAGCACAATTGATCGAAACAATTTTAGTCTTTCAAACAAGAGGGTCTTTCAATGTTGATCCCTGGTACTAATATCTATTTGAGGTGATTTTATTATCAAAACTGCTGAGTATATTACTTTGTGTGTGATTTCAGACAACGCTCTAATTTTATTAGAGAAATGTGAAATCTAGCACTGCAAAGAAAAATGGGACCATGGGTATAACTGTATACAAAATACTGTTCACAAACAAATTACAGTCAATTTATTTTAGCAATGTATACCTGTTTATTCGAATATAAATTCTTTACTAATATTTTAAACATAAAATAAGTCTGGCACTTCAGTGATATGAACCTTTCATGATTTTATGATGTCTAAATTTCTTATTTTATGAAAACCCAATTCATATCTGCTCCTAATTGTCTAGATGAGGTTATATTCCACTTAATGACACCTTATTTCAAACCAAGAAAAATACCTCAAACTGAATCAATTTAAAAATTTTAACGCTATTGTCCTTATAACTCTATATAAATCATTTGTTAGAATACTTTAGTACATTTTAAATTTCTTTCTTTCTTACAATTTCAAACAAATAGATCATTTATGATTCATATATTTAGACCAGAGTTAGCAGTTAATGAGGTCATATATCGTTATCCCCGGTTGTACGTGACAAGGAGTAGGGTTACCTGTCCAACCTCGTTGGTTTTCTCCGGGTCCTCCAGTTTCCTCCCACTGATAAAGACCCCTATGCGCAAGCGAATTATTGAAATAAAATTAAACCATATGTTAGTCCCGAAATGACCTAGTTTGTGTCGAGGATGTTAAACCCCATTTCTCTCTCTCTCTTATATATAGTTAATTGAAATATTAAGAAAAGTTGTCCAATTTTTAAATTGTACTGAGTATTCAGTAAGATTGTGTTGACCTTCCATTTTCCAATGGAAGATTAAATATTGAGGTTCTATATTTTTTGATATTGCTGTTTGCAGTGTTGTCAGTGTTTTTGTTTTATTATTAAAGTGTATATCTTTTTTAATAAAATGTGATTGTATATAAAGAAAGTGAGTTTAATATAATCTTGTTATGTAGATATGTACATATTTAATACTATATGCACTATATATAGGTATTATATGGATGCACACAATATGTTGTTTATAAGTGAATTATGTAGTTATTATTATCATGTCAAATGTTTTATTCATTTGATATACCGGTATATAAATATATATAAAATGCAAATAAAAAAATTAAAAATGAAAATATCAGTAGCTACTTTCTTTATTTGAATCAATGCAAAACTGATCCTCAAATATAAAGGTTAACCACCACCCAGCTCCGTTGATTTAATGCAGTTTTGCAGATGAAGTATTTGTTTCAAAGGCTGACTTTCGAAGTAACATGTACTATGCCACCAATACCAACTTCCATTAGTATGTCAGTGAGTCTATTTTCCAATGAAAATAATAAAAGTTGATTTTTGTCTGCCATCTTCGAAAAACAGAAAATCTTATATATTATTATTTCATGCTTTTAGGTATTTGCGGTTGCTCGATGGAAATTAAACAAGAGTTGAACCCCTTTAATCGTGTGTTCTAAATAAAACTAAAACATATTTTTGCTCACCGTATATTGAAGTACACAGTTCCTCGTTCTATACACTCTTGCGTGTGTGAGCGAGCAACAGGGACATTTACGTTGACGCAAGTTATTGTAATCATGTCACTAAACAGCTGTGGGCTAAATATTGAAATTTCACAATAAACGTGTGTAATAATATAGAAATTTATTGGTACCAGTTTTCTCTCTGCAGATCAAAACTGAATTTAAATCGATTTTCACATATTTTAATTTTATACTACTACATCTCAATATTCGTATCTTGTTGTCGCTTCTTCCATCCACAATTCCTTATTATTGGTAGACATTCTTTATGTAAATAAGACACATACGTTCAGCGAATTTCACCGATTTCTGATAATAGAACTGTCATTTACAGAACATGATTCCGATAGAATGTAGGTTAGAATACAATTTAGCGTACAAATTAGAAAAAAAAAAAATAAACGAATGAAAATGTAGCCGAATTGTTTATGTTCAGTCTAAAGATGTAACGGCAAAACTTATCAGTGGTTGTTGATGTTAATGTAAGGAAGAAACCTATCCAGTCCAATTAACCAGTAAATAGTCACCGAGAATTTAATAGCATGTAAACAGTCTACCGCTATTATATGTTAACGGTACAATAGTATGCAATTATATGTAGTATCCCCATAATCCGTCCATTTTTATACGTCCACATAGAAATGTGGTCATATTGCCATCGCTCCCGTCCTTCCGTCCGGCGTCCACAATTGCTTGCGGACGCTCTCGATCTAGAGGCCAAAGTTTATGCACAGAGTTTAAAGCCATAAGACGAAGAAACCTATTGATTTTCAACCAGTTTCGATAATTAGTGCCAGAGTTATGGCCCTTGATCACTTTGAAAAATCTTGTGGACTCTAGAAGCTAAGGTTAATATCGGATTGACTTTAAATTTATACACAGTGTTTATGGTCACGAGAAAAGGGATCCTATTGATTTTCAACAATTTCCGATAATTAGTTCTAGAGTTATGACCCTTGTTTGTAAAAATTTATATTGTTAGTAACACACGTGAGTGCAAATAAACCATGAATCATACTGCTAATTATTTCATCAGAGGTTGTCCTCGATCAACTTTCCGTGTAAATACACGAGCTATAAGGCGTATGGGCCCGATGGATGTTGAGCGGGTGGATGGGGGGGGGGGGTAACTGAATTCCCCGAAAAAAAAATCCCGTTTTCAGAGGGAGCTTACCGTGTAGGGGCCTCCCCTAGAAAGTTTGTGGGCGTTTTCCTGCTATTCCAGTCCGTGAATACAGCAACTTCAATTTGGTCCAATACAAGTGGCTGAATGAATTCCAAACAACCGATCAATCGTTTAGTCCAAGAAGCCGGGATATGGGGGGGGGGGGGGGGCTCGTCCTCCCCGAGAAAATTATGAAAAAATTTGATTCAAAGTTGTCCAATGGTTTTGCAGCAGAAATCCCACTATATGCCAACCTGACTTCCAATCATCCGATCAGACGACTGAATGCCTTCACAAATAATAATCAATGCCAAAAAACTGTCACACAAAGCAGAGTGTTTCCAGACAAAATCCTTTTATACATTGTCAATTCAGTACAAATTCGCGATATTCAAATAACAGAAAAGTAAAATTAATGTTTTATTAGATTTCGGGTACTGTATTTTGACAACTAGGTGTTATTTTTTGGTAAGCAGAGTGGCTCCAGACAAAATTCCCGGTATTCAATAAAAAGAAAAGTACAATTAGTGTTTTATTAGCTTTCGAGCATTTTATTTTGCCAACTAGATTATATAATATTTTTTTTTACTTATCCGTCTGCCCGAAAAGTTAAAGGCCGGGGACAGCTGCGTATGTTTCGTTTCCCGACAACCTATATTTTGTTCTGTCAGTGATCATAAAATATCCGAGAAGTCTTTCTTTTTGAAGTTCTAATCCCTTCTGCATCTTTCGTACACATCAAAGACATTAAACAACTCAAATTTCTTTAAATAGAAGATGAATAAACAATTATTAATATTCTCAAAGTATACTTAGTGTTTTGGACTAAAATCGTAGAGATAGGATTTAAAATGTCGGGCGGCCAGCTTTGTGTCTGTTCTAGACAGACAACGCTGTTTCGCCCGCATTCACTATTATTGTTATTCTGTTTGTTTATTTTGATATGATGTATCCGACATCTTGTGTTTGATAAAAAATATTTCACAACCTGGTAATAATATTACACACAAAAGTGCATATGATATGGTTTCTATTATCATCGATACATCTAAATGGCTATCTTAGGAATTCCATAAACTAAGTGCAGGAACGTCGTTCACCTTAGAGACAACAAACCAGATTGCCCATAAATATCTTTCAAATAGTAAATGTACGTTTACACTTAAATTGTAAATTGGTTGTCCATATTGGATGATATTTATTTCATGATTATTAGTCTTGATTATTCAAATGGCAAAAACCCGAGGGTACTTTTGATTTTTCTTTTGAAGATTGTCGCTTTATGGATGATCAGACGATGGTAACTATATAAATATTGTTTGATATTAGCTAGAGAGTTGCCTTTTAAAATACCAGAATGCGCACTGTGCCACCAGAATTGTTTATATTTTGCGCGTCTGACATTTGGAAACGATGTATATGAATTTACTGAAGAACTTGAAGAATGTATCACGTGCGGTACCGTGCCACGGAGACATCTTAATCACAGAATACGAAGTCGCGTGCACTGGAATCACTTAGCGAAATGTCGTTAAGGTTACAGTTTTTAGAGTTTTTCCCAATTATATAAAGATGCTTTCAGACAAAATTGATGACCATGCATTAGGTTTGAAATGGAAGCCCCAATATACTTTAAAGACGAAAACACCAAAATATTTTTCAAAACCGCAAAGAAAGCTTGTCCAGATTATTTTAATAGAAAAGACTTTTACTTAAGATTCTTTGCCAGGAATCTAAGAAATGACACAGACAAAGAGGTATAATATTAAAAAAGTAATATAGGATTCATTTTTTATGATTCAAATTGATCACGACATTAGTATTCTTCGGTATTAAGATTTTAGCATAATATGGTTAATGTAAGGTCATTACTGCAAGACTTAAAAGGTATCTTAAAATTTAAAGAAAAAAGCACATTAGATTTTAGAGGACATAATGCATTAGTGGGGTCATTGTTCACAATGTATACATATTTATGATTTTGTTGATAATATATATTGTTTTATCGTTATTGTGTTGATGTATATAATTGTTATTTTAAAATAAGTCTATACTGGGATTATCAATGTCGGTGTTGTAGAGATGTTACAGTATTTACAAGAGACGCGTAAGTTTGTTATTAAAGCCAGATGGTTGCAACAAAATATAGTCTATTTCGCTTGCCTTTTCCTCAGTACAAGAACAAACGCATTCGATTTTATCACACACAACTTCGTCTATATCCGTTTGAATTCTGTGCACAAAGCAGAAAATGCTTAATATTTCCTGGAAAAAAATTCATATCCTAAGTTTCATTAATATAAAAATATTTTATTTTGTCTATTATAGAAATTTCGGATTGTTCCGATCTTTTCAATCATTTTAACATCAAAAACATATATTATTTTATTAATATACACGAATATATCTGAGAAAGTGTCCATGAGATCGTTTCACGATCATCGTCGTTACTTGGAATATAGAGCTATTTTAAAACTGTTTGCACCATACTAATTTGTGTGTTTAAAAAGAAATATTGGTCTAATTTGAACACAGTATGTCATAGGTACATCGAGGTCCAATCTTAATTTAAAATATGATCTTAGCAATTGATAATCGAACCAATTTTCGCATATGATGTGATTACATTGACTGAAAACTGAATTAAAGGAGGTAAATCTCTATTCTCTGGCACATACAAACGGACACAAATTATGTAATATGAATGTATAATATAAACTGATTTACATTCAATCATTTCTGTTTTTATTGTAATTTCTAATCAGTTTTGGCATCTGGTTATTCCAGTATACACCGGTAGCATTCTCCTGTGTGGAATATGTTAAGCCTCGTTCACCGAGTCGCTTCATTACAAATGGCGCTGGAAAGAATTCTGGCACGCGATTCATTTGCCAATTTTAAAATTTTCATTTTGTCCTAAATATTCGGTATCAGAAGATCATCTTTTCATGGTAAAATATAAACATAAATGTTGATTTAAATTGATCAATACGTTCTGCTTGCAATGTCGAAGACTGTGGATGATATTGAGTTAAAGACTTGTCTCCTTTAATGTAATGGCGAAACCTTGTAATCCGCGCACCGATATTTGTAGCAATCTGCCAATTAGAACTTTGCATAATAATAATGATGTTCCCAAATTTAAAATGTTCGGTTTACCCTGTGATGTTTAAATACACAATCTGGAAATACGAAACGAATGCTACCAATTTCTTATTTCTCCAGATGTGATTGCCAATGGGAACAGCTGGCCAAACTTTTTTACCAGTTGCTGACGTGACAGCCTGTCTTGCACTCTTATTGTAATCAATGTGGCGTTATTTCATCTACCAGTCTTACAACACACTTATGAATACTTTCTCCATCGCATGCTTTAATGTTGGCGCGTGGAACAAACTTGAAAGTCTACACAAGAATGATTACAAGCGTTAAA